GCACTGGTATGAATTTTGTGCTTTTTGTGTCTACTTTTGGCTTCTCTTGTCTGGAAGCAGATGATATATTATACATGATATATGAAATATTAGCTGTTTAGTGATGAGAGAAGTGCACTGTAGCTGTAAAGCAGCATTAATAGGGAGTGAAGCGGCTCTCTGTAGATTAGCTTTGAAGACCAAAAACCTGCTGTTTCACCCTCCTTTGGCACAGATTCAGCCGAGTCATTTATCACGAATCATTTGTTAGCAGCAGCCAGACGAAGAAGCTTTAAGAGTTACTCAGTGAGATTTTGTATTTCGATAGAGAGATCACCTCCCAGATGTTGTAATCATTTTATATTTGCTTGTATGTGTAACCCGGCCATAAATTACATATTGTTATAATTACACAAATTTTATTTTCCAGTTTATACCTGATTTTTAGGACCTTCAAGCCTGTAGTTATGTTCTTTATCAGTTGGAGCCCCTCATCATTGTTCTTCTTCTTCTTTGGTGCAACCCTATAAATACAGTGTACCCTTTTGGTCTCTACCCTTTTCTACAATTCCCCTGTGGAAGAGGTTGGTGTCATTTCTTTCCAGACATTGTACAACACACATATAATGTATATTTAGCCACCATGATATTTCTGATTGTGTGTCTTTAGTTCAATTATTGTCATCATTGTGCCTGTTTTTGTTAGATGTTAGAAATGTGTAGGCGCCATTAATGCTAGCATGAATATATAATTCTGGCTAGCTTGGGAGTTGTGGTGGGTTGAGCTAATCCTCTCCCCCACTGTTTGTATTTGGTCAGAGGAGCTGGAGCGAGCAAATTATTTACTTGGAGGTCTTTCTTTCTTTTACCTTTCTTTGTCAGGTATGTCTGAGTTTTTTTTAATCTTATGTCAAATATCTTCCATGTAAGTTCGTACTTCATGTTTAATGTAAAAATAAATGCAGCCCTTTTCTACAATTCCCCTGTGGGAGAGGAGCTGGAGTGAGCTAGTTATTTACTTGGAGGTCTTTCTTTCTTTTACCTTTCTTTGTCAGACACAATGCAGAAACACACCGGTTACATATGGTTTGGTTGTATGTATGACATTTTTATTCATTTTTTACATTTACTTTATATTTTTGTGGTGAGGTTGTGGTTCTCTTCCCTGAGTTATCCCCCACCTCATAGTGCTGCGGAAAAAGTTACAGAGCTCTTTCTGTTTCATCATTTTCATTCCAACCATTTTAGGAAGGCCACTTTTATTACTAAGTCCCTATTGCTTAATTTCCTTTTACAGCTTACTTCTTTGTTTGCCCAGACTCTTATTTCACTCTCCCTCCCTTCACCATAAAGCAGTGAACTTCAGTGGCTTTTTCCCCCCTTTTCTTCTTCCTCTCTGTGGTCCCGACTTGGTCTTATCTTATATCTCTCTGCTGCAGGCTGCGTAGCAACAACCCATCATGTGACCATGACTCCCTCCTCTCCACCACATTCCCTCTAGAGTTATAAAGCTACAACCTCAGTAACTTAGTAACAGAAATCTGAATCTTCATTTGTCTTAAGCCATTAAATGGTTCATAAAGAAAAATAAAATGTCATCATCCCATTTCCTCCTTTTCTCTGAATCATCCCTTCATTATTTACCTCCTAATGCTCTAAAGGTTAGCTCTCCCTAGCGCTTCATCAGCAATACATTCCTCTACCACTTAAATCCTGACTTTTCTGGACTGTCTTCTTCTTCACCAGCGCCTCAGATCTGCTTCTATTTAACATTTGTAGAATCTCTTGCGAATGGTGTGGTTTCATCAATATGAAGCAGCGGTGGATAGCAAGTGTTTGTTTGTTTGGTTTTGTCACACTCTATTCTGTATGATCTGCTCACAATGTTCCTCACGTGCTCTGTTCATGCTACGAATATATGTAGACTGTGTATGTGTGTGTGTGTAAAATGGTTTAAAAAAACTGGGTCATATCTACCATGTGTGTGGGTAATGAGCACCCCTGTGAGCCCTTTCAACCCTCCCTGCATCTAACTCTTGTTTTTCTTCTATTGAATTTGCAGTCAACTCGTTTCCCGAGGCGTTCCCTTTCCCTTATTTTACTTTAATGTCATGCTTGTTCCAGCTAGCCCCTCCATCTCTCTCTCTCTCGCTCTGTGCATCTCCTTTCTTGCTGCAGCATCCATTCCTTAACCACCCCCTCCCCTCCACCCTCTCTTGAGCCACTGGCTAGTGCAGCCCATATTTGCTAAGTGTATTGGAGTGCACCTCACCCTTTCCTCCCACCCCTCTTTGATCCTGATTGACCATCCAGGAATGGGAAAAAAAGCCTCTGTTTTCTGCATAAGCAATGCCACAAAACAGAATCGCTGGATGTGTATTAAATAAGGTTCTGCATGCTTAAAGCATTTATTTCATGAACTCTACCAGAAGAAGCTCAAGGCCAAGTGCTGTGTGTTTACACCCAGCCTCCATTGATTTCCTGCAGCACTGAGAATTCATTAACCATGTGCAGTCCTGCTGCCGAGTTTGTCTTTATATTAATCTTGTAGCAATCATCTTAATGAAAGCCTGAAACTATAATCATACACTGGGTTTGACTTAAAATACATGCATGCACTCGCTGAGATGGTCCCTTGCTGGGATCAGCTCAAGGTCACGGTGTGTGTCACAGCGAGAGCTTTAATGTGATTATCGAGATACAATCAGTCCAGGTTAGAAAGTGTGAAATGGCAAAATAGCGGTTATCAATTCAGTCTATTGGCATATGTGATCAATATCCGAGAAGCTACTTACACAGCTGATCGATCAGCATTCAGGTAATGAAAACAGATAGGTGAGATAAGATGGAGCTTGCTCAGAAATGTGAGCCTTTTACATTACTCTACAGAGACATATCGCAGAGTCACCATCAGACTTAACTAAACTGAATGAATATAAATATGTTTATTCAAGATGAGCAAATAATGTATTCTGCAAAGTCACTGTAGCAGTGGAAGGATGCCTGATGTCAGCAGATCCACTTAGGAATGTGGAGAGTGTCACCAGGAATGGACAAACATGCAGTCACAGCTCCTTATCGTTAATTCTGCGCAGGTTAGGCTTGGCTTTACATAAAAGTCCAACACTGAAAACTGTCACTTGACAGCTTGACAGTAGATGGAAATTTATGAGTTCAAATCAAGGCAGCTTTTTAGATTTATATCAGTCTGCTATCTGCTAGCAAAATGAGCCTGCCCTTCATCCAAATGACCTTAAACCCGACACTCCAATCACTCAGGTTTCCCAGCAGTACACACACCAAGTTTATTGTGGATGAAATGAATGGTCGTTCATTGGCCATATAACATAAGTGAGATTGGATTTTCTATAAAATTAGCCCAGACCTCCTCCCACTGCATGCACTGCCTCCATAAAGTTGTGTACCAAAATAAATACGATTGTAATTTGTATTCATAAACACATTAGCAAAGATAAAGCTTCTATTTTATTTAATCATTCAGTATGGTTGGGTGATAATATTCCTAGGGTTTGGAAGGCTTTCACATAGTGTGTTTTTTGGGTTGGTTGTGCAGATGTTAAAGCTTCCTCTTGCATAGACTCACAGAAAGTGCTGGAACCTTCCTGTTACTTATTGTATACCTATGGTTATCTATTACAGTAAGTAATAGGTTTGGACCAACCTATACAGCAAGGATAATAATAACTATAGTGCCACACTACAGTATCACTTTATTGTCAGTGACATTAATGCAACTGAAACGAATCATGGGTCTGATTTTTGTACAAATATAGTGGTTCAACTTTACATTTATTTTGGGGAGATTAGGGCTGAATTAAGGCCCTCTGGTTCTCCATCTTGAGTGTACTATTCATATAACCCAGCAAATCAGAAAAGATGGAAGTTGGATGGATGCATGGATGGAAATCGATCACTAAGTGTTGTGACCAGAAAAGATACTGTCACAGTCATGTGTGACCTCATTCTGACATCACCAGTTATCAGATATGACATCATTTATGTTTATAAATAAACTGCAATGAATGATTTCATCAGTAATGAAAACTGGAAAAATTCTAAAGTCATTCTGAGTCTGTGACCCTGCTAATGCTGCTTTATTAAGGTGCTGTTTTTGCTTTATATATTTATATCACACTTATATCTGCATATATGTGTGTGTGTGTGTGTGAGAGAGAGAGAGAGAGGGGGAGAAGAGGCGACACCTCTCCTCCTCACATGTGACCCCATGTGACAGCGGGCTGAAAGGGAAGAGAGGGGAGACCAGCTCTCCTCTTTATCTGGCAGCAGCAGAGATGAGATGGTGCTGCTTGCGTTTTGTTCCCAGTTGTATTTATTTGCATTTATTCATGCCCCATGCTCATGCCACCTTGAAAAGCACATTGCTTTTTTTTTTGTTTGTTTGGTTTGTGTTTGTCAAAATTAAATTACTCTGCTCCGGTGTGATTGTGACAAAGTAAGTGGATCTAGTGAAAGCAAACAACTTGCTCTGTTTACTGCCTAATGGCAGAGTTAGAGATAATGATATCATGTGTGACATGAGGAACCCACAGGCAGGTTTGAAATGAGTCAGTGTGGTAGTGACTGCTATTAAGAGACCCATAGTAAACTGAGGTCATAAAAGTGGACATTTTTGCAGTATTTCTCTCTCCAGTTTAAAAAATTTTTTTTTTTAGAAATATCACCTAAATCCTCTCTTCTTATCCTGCTTGTTGCCTCTCTCTCTCTCTCTCTCTCTTCCAACTTTGGCAATCCCTCCCTCTCTCTCTCTCCTCCTTTCTTATCTTAGCTGAGGGGAGGCAGACAGGGATGGATGGCTGAGGAAATTGAATTCTCTGTATCGCCGTCGCGCCCCTGCAGTGAGCTGCTTCACGTGTCCGCCTCTCTTCCATCCACACTTACAGCTGTGCATGCATATATTTATGCACAGACACAGTGCTTAGTCACAACTCTGTTGTGGTAATGTGGATGTGAGTACATTTACATCTTCTTTTTCTCAACAGCTGTCGTACAAGCAACAGAAAAAGTCTGATCCTGACGACCACGTCCCCCACGCTCCCTCGGCCTCACTCCCCTCTGCCCCTCCCTGGACACCTCGGTATGTACAACAAAAGCCCTAACGCCTCCCCTGTGAGCTTGATTTTAATTGATTTTGATCAAAAATATAGGTGAAGATATTCCGACCTCTCAAAAAAGGGTTATTCTACTGGTTCATCATGTGTTTACAGTTTCTTAGTTTTATTCTTTTTCACTTCACTGCAGAGAGTTAGAAGATCGATCCCTCTCTCATGTCTGTATGGTTAAAATTAAGTTAGAGCTAGTAACAGGATAGCTTAGCTTAATATAAAGTCCACTTAAGGCCAGCGCCAAAAGCAAGTCAGTTGTCAAAGTCTTCTGTGTTAACATGTCCAGCTTTACAGAAGAAATAAGAATGAATAATTCCTGCTACTGTTTGTGGTTTAAAACGAAGAAATAATTATTGTTTTTGTGTCTGCATGCTACTCCCATTTAATTTATGCATCTTGCTAACTAAGCTTGCTAGCATTAGCTCATAATTTTATCACTCATCCGTGTCATCTAAATTTACTTTAAAAAAACAAACAGACAGATATGAAGGCCAAAACTGGTAATGTTCAGACATCAAAACTCGATTTTATAAATTAATGTTGATGTCACTGAGCTTATGTCTACTTTTTATATACAGTCAATAGGTGAAATGATTAGCCTTTGAAGTTGTCATGGTAATTTTACATGGAGGGTGAAATCAAGCCCATTTTACGGTGGCCCTGAGAGGCCAAACGGACTGCAACTTAAGAAAACACCAACAATAAGAAAAACGCTTCAAAAGCACATAAAACACAACGGAAATAGGAAAAAACAGATTTCCAAAGGCACTAGGGAAGTGTTTCTGGGGAGACAATAACCCGACAGACCAGTTGCAGGAACCCAAAACAAGCTAGATGTGTTTTATCATGATTCATATAATACTGATGACGGATTTTTTAGGCTAATAGTTAGGCTAACACATCCTGTGTTTTCTTTTTTCCTATTTCTGTTGTGTTTTGTGTGCTTTTGCAGCGTTTTTCTTATTGCTGGTGTTTTCTTAAGTTGCAGTCCGTTTGGCCTCTCAGGGCCAACGTACCATTTTGATCTTCAGTGTCTCAGATCAATTAACTTCCACTTGGTGGAATCAGAATCAGAATACTTTATTGATCCCTGGGGGAAATTATTTTTTGTTACAGTGCTCCATTTTAAACCAACATTAAGACAAGACAGACAATACACTAACTAAGAATAGTACAATAATATACATATATATACATACATACATACATAAGTCACTCATAAATAAATAGTTGGAAAAGAAACATGTGTAGCTGTAGCAGCAAACAGTGTGTTAAGTGGATGCGTTGTACAGGGAGATGGCCACAGGCAGGAATGATTTCCTGTGTCGTTCAGTGGTGCTTTTCGGTAATCTCAGTCTCTCACTGAACGTGCTCCTGTGACTGACCAGCATGTCATGGAGTGGGTGGGAGTGTTATCCAACATTGTCTTTATCTTGGACAGCATCCGCCTCTCCGACACCACCTTGAGGGAGTCCAGCTCCATCCCCATCCATTCCAACAATGATCTCAAAGTTTACTGAGCTGAATGTGAAAACACAGCTCCCATATGAGGTTGATTCTGTTTTTGTCTGAAATATTTTTGAAATTTGGATATATATGTAACTCGCATTTGTTCCCTGTCGAGTTTCACTAAAGATCAAAGATAGGCCCTTAGGTTTAAGAAAAAAATCTTAGTTTACATTAAGTTTTAAATCGGTTTACTCCTAAAAGCGTTGCCTACTTATTATGAGTAGTTATGCTGTGATATTGAACTAAAGGAGCAGTGGGAGACAGCTCTGCGTCTGCACCTCACAGCACGTCACTGGATTTCCTGTTGGGACTTGGCCACAGGATAAAAGGCACAGTGGCATGACATACTACCACTTTGACCTTCTCCTACACTCGTGCCGTTCTTTTGTGTCTCATTCTCAATGCATGTCTTGTTGTCCCACCAGGAAGCAGCCCACTGGACAGCCCACGAAACTTCTCTCCCAGCAACCCAGCCCACTTCTCATTCGCCTCCTCCAGAAGGTGACTGCTTCCCGGCACTGCAGACTACACACTGACTGTGATTGCACCTGTTTACTCTCGGCCATATTTGCACAAGAGGTGTGAGAGGGATAGAAAGTGAGATAGAGACAGATAAGAAGAGTCTGTGTGAGGCAAAGGTCACAGAGGGGAGAGACACCGAGCAGGTGTGAGCTCCAGTGGAACAAGAGGTGCAGATGTGTTGTTGAGAGAGATCTCACACATTCTGGAGAGCCTCTCGCTGCACTCGCAGGTTCTCACAGCGTAACAGGGTGACTCATGTATGACAGGGCCAGGCCATTACATTCACAGCTCCTCTCTGTTTAGTCACGCTTGTTGCCTGTGTCACACATCTACATCTGTTCATGTTAATAGATTTTAGATTTAGGCCTTCACGTGGTTGCTTTTGTCTTTAGGCTAAAGACAGCGTGTAACAATATTATAAACACTAGTTCACTTCAAACACAACAGTTTAGAGAAGAAGGCCCTTTTTTTCTCGGGAGGCGCAGGTCCAGAAAATAAGTTGTTTGGCCTTGAGCCATGAAACAACGGCTGCATCCATGTAGTCACATTCAGAAATCTTATGGCAGGTTATAAGAGGATTAGAAGCAGATTCATGGCATCACGTTTCATTTTAATGCTCAAATGTCTGCATGCTTTTAGTCACGAATCACATCGTCCTACAGAAAAATACTTTAAGTGGATCATGTTCACTACAGTCTGTAATTTGATACTGCTTTTTGTGGTAATTTGTTTTTGCCATAAGCTTCAAAAATAGTTGTTAATTTTGAAAATATGTCTTCAGCTGTAGCTCTCTAATCTGCATTGTGTGAAAAGCGTTAGATGTATTCTATGGTTGTAAGTATTATCTGGTAATATGTATAAATATTTAATATCAAAATGCTAACTATGTATTGTAGTGCACTGAGTGAACTATTAAACCTGTGAGCTGTGAGTTGTCCCAGAGTGGGAAGTGACAATAGTAATAATACTACATTTTATTTATAGGCCCCTTTCGAGTCCCTCAATGTCGCCTCATATTGGTGCAGTAATTTAAACTTGCATACACAAGAAACATACAAAAACACAGATTAAAACTGATCAGGATAACAATGGGCTACAATGCTGTTTAATTATGTTATAATGAAGGGTGTGAAGTCTGAATGTGATGATGGGTTTTGAAATGTGATTTAAAAATAGAAGGAGAGTTTATGGTCCTGAGATCAGGTATTTCAAAGTCTTGGAGTAGAGCAGCTACAGGCTGTCAGACCCCATGGTGGACAGTCCAGGTTATTATAGCTAACTAAAACTTCACTAAAAACTAACACTAGTTATGGGGGAAAATGTAGTTAGCTGAAATTAAAATAAAAATGTGACTTTTGAAAAAATATAAACTAGCTAACTATTTTATGAACTTGGAGAACTATCCATCCATCCAGGGTCGCGGGGGGAGCTGGAGCCTATCCCAGCAGTGATAGGGCGAGAGGCGGGGTACACCCTGGACTGGTTCACCAGACAACCATTTGCACTCAAATTCACTATGGGCAATGGGCAATTTAGATTGATCAATTAACCTGTCCCCACTAACTGCATGTATTTGGACTGTGGGAGGAAGCCGAAGACTTGAAGAACTAACTAAACTAAAATAATAACTAAAATATTAAAAAGTATCCTTAGTTTTAGTATTTGTTAATTTGCTAAAAATATGTAAATACAGCTTGCCTGATGAGGCTTTGATGGATGTATTTATTCCAACTTTGGACGTCTGCACTAACGTTCCTAGATCTTGGACATTTTCAAAAAACCTAAACCGAAGCGAGCTAACCCACTCTGGACGCTAACTCAAACTTAACTGAATACAGAACAAAAAGAAATGAAATAAAAGTAGAAAATATGAAACTATAATAACTCGGGGATCGATGCAGACAGGGGGTGTAGCTGGGATTTAGGTGCAGCATTTACAAGATGCACTTTTTATGGCTGCATTTATGCTACAGGCAGACACGAGTTAGGTGCTTGAGCTCGCTCTCAGGGTTTGCTTCGTTTCCACAACTTTAAACAGCAGGTGCTCATACCATAGACAATCAGCCACTTTTATCTTTTCATAAAGGGGAGCTGTCACGCTCATTTCCAGTTGCATATTTTCCTTCTTACACCCTACTTGAATAGCTTTTTATTATTCATAGGTCAAAACAATCCTTATTTACCTTACACTAAATACAACGCCTCACGTCATCCACTGTATTAAAAACAACGAGGCTCCATCCACACTCTCGTGTTCAAACAGCAGAGATGTATGTAGGCGGCCAATTAGGCTGTTATTTACTTCCGTCTCTCTCTCATGTTGGAAGTCGAGGCTCCTATAAAGCCTCTGTCCTTATTTATCAGATCTGTCTGCCTGCCTCTCACTGTGAATCTGAGTTACAGAGTCACAATGCAACTCACTAGAACATGATTTTCTTCAGCTGAATTAAAACTTCTCTTTGTAGTTAATGAAATTAGGTTAGCTGGGCTTTCAGGTTCATTATCTTGATTTTTGTCAAATCAATAATAAACAACAGAGAAGCTTATGTGATATTGATTTTATAGCACTACAGTGCAGTGGGTATTAAATGAAGTGCAATTTGTGTTTGCCATTCTGCAGGGCCGATGGACGACGATGGTCTTTAGCGTCGTTGCCCTCTTCTGGATATGGTACCAACACTCCCAGCTCCACGGTAAAATATACATCACCACTTTTTCACTGTATTGATCATAAACGTGTGTGTAGGGGAGCAGCTATGCTAGAGCGTATTTTTGCAGTTATGCGTATGCGAACAACTCAATTTAAGCAATCCTTTCAGTTGCCAGTCAAAAAATACACTAGTTAAAACCAACATAGTCGAAGTTAAAGCGTAGACGAGGAGCAATATTTGCAGGACGTTGCCTCTCAGCACGAGTCACGATAATTTAGAATGTAAAACAGTCAAAAGTATTGGATATCCATAAGAAGTCATATAGCTTCACTATAAAACTAAGGTCACGAAACTCCAAGTAAAACATCGCTGAAGCAATTTGCACTCCTAGTCTACTGTATGAAAAACTCTGTAAATATGCCCCATTATATAGCGTTAAATAAAATTCATTTGATAACTTATTTCTAAGTATTTGGAACATGAAGAGTACCAACATTATCTTTGAAGGCTCCTTTTACATCACAATTTGGTTGTAACCCCAAAAGCATTAGCTTAAATGTAAATTGTTGGCTGCTGGGTTACTGTGTAGCTAATAAACTTTTGATATAACTTATAAGTAGCTAATAATTAATGGGTTGATTAGCACTGATTAGTCTGTTTATACCAAATCTGTTTGTTTTCCCTCTATGAAATTAGTTCTGGTGTGAAATGATACATGGACGTCTTTTTCTGGCAATTCAGACTTCAAGTACCAACAATGCTGTCCTGTCCTTGAAAAGCTTATGGGCACTGTGACAGGTCCTTATTTTAGGCAAAGCAAGACATTGGTATATGTTCCTGCTTTGGATTTTACATTTTGATACATTTTATTCAAGTCAAATAGAAAGCAATACAGTCTTTGATATAATTAGTCTACTGAGGTTTCTCACGTCATGTGCATATTGAGTTGTTCACCGTACTGGAGGTGATTCAGCAATCGATTGCTTGTGAAAAATGTGTCCTTCTCAGTTAGTTGGAAGTGTTTCCTATCTTCAATTTAAAAGTTGCGCTTTTAATTTGAAGGGTTTGAGTTGCAATTTTTATGGAAAGTAGCTGGCCGGCGTCACTTCCATTTAAACTATGTAAATATGCCAAACACCAAAGCAATCACAAGGATTTGGTTTTGCCAACCTTTGCCAAGTCTAGGGAACGTGCGCTTCTCTCTCATGACCGGTGATTGCCAGATGAGATGGACCGGTCTCCAGGCCTATTTACTACTACACTGTCACCGTGATTGTCACACGTCAAAAAGACAAGTTATCGTCACACAGTTAGTGGTCACGTGTCTGAAAAAAATCAAGTAATAAGTCTTGTTAGGATAGCGCAACACCATCTGGACAGACAGCTAGCAGAACAGCAGTGCAGGGAATTATAGAACCAATACTAGTTATTATAGGGGATACTTTTAGATGCACTCTTTATGATGACATTTACTGATGATTATTTTGGAAAGATCCTTATGGTTCCTTATTATAGCAATGCAAAATTTGTATTCCTTCTAAATTACTTGAGGGGTGGGCTTATTGATCAGACCTGTCCCCACAGCTATATGATGATTAACCATAATTATAATGATTATCGACCCTTTCAGCATACCAGAACTTTCCCCATGTAGCATGTTAGATATATCTATGAAAGCCAGTTTGTATTAGCTGAATATACATTTTCACTTTAAGATAACAATTAAAATGTATCCATCTCCAGCTCGTCACTTCTACTTCTTCCCCTGCCTGTCCTTCAGCATGACGTGTTGCATAACAGTGATATCAGGGGCCTGGTTGTTCTCTCCATCTGGCTGTGGATGGAGGCTTAGATGGATGAAGGGAAGAGAGCAAGAGGGGAAAGTGACGATCGCCAAGCCGGTTGGGACGAGAGCGATGAGACACGTGGTGTAGTGAAGAGACGTCTACGCGAGATAGAGCACATGCGGTTCCATGCTAATTTAATCAGAGACCAAAATAAGCCAGATACTATGAATAGAAACACAACAATAGTACATTAAACAAAAGGCTGTGAATGTTACGAATCACACTGAGCTGGCCCCTCAGTCTCTGCTCTATTTAAAGTAATTCTCTCACATCATACCACAAATTCATAAATACTGAATGGAGTCATTTTCTTGCCGACAGCGTTACCAGATTATAGCTTTGTGGAAAGATCACGCTGATCATGATGCTCTATTTCATCTTGTTTGCAAGAATTTAAAATTTTGGGCCCCAAAGGTGTATTCCTAACCATTTTCCAAGAATTCCCCGTATACTTGGAAAAACCAGTGAACAAGGAGAGAAGAAGACCCAGTTTGTGCTCATCAGACTGTAGCCAAAAAGACACACACTTGAACAGAAATATAAGTAACAGCTGGATCAGTTCAGCAGATGCTCTCTGGGAAAATAATATGCAACTCTACCAAGATAGAGGAAAAAATCTTGACATCCACACATAAAATAAACAAAGGGAGGAATCTGCATCCTTACTTCACTCTTTTCACTTAGAAATGTAAGAGGAGGCGGTCTAGGTCTCATTGTCCCTGTTTGAGGCAAAGGAAATAGGAGACAAAGTTTTACTGACAGATGGATTTAAGGTCTGGCCCTGAGGCGTCATTATCTTTCAGTTCCTGGTTTGTCGTCACACTGTCTGGATCCATGAGGAATAACAGCTGTAGACTGTCAAACACTTTAATAATTTAGCTTTCAGATCGTTATCTTCTGCAGTTGCTGGACGTCATTTGGTGGAGTTTTGTCGTTAATTTTCTGGCACTTTCTCTGTTTGATCCTTCCAACGCCTACTTCCCTTTCTCATCTGCCATCCCACCCCCCTCCTCCATCATCTTAATTCTCTCCCCTTCACCGTCTGCTTCCTCTTCCTCCTCCACCCTCTTGGCTCCCTTCCTCTTCTTCCTCTTCCAGTCCTCCAGCTCTTCTCAGGAGCGACTGCACCAGCTGCCCTTCCAGCCCACCATGGATGAGCTCCACTTCTTATCCAAGCACTTTGGCAGCACAGAGAGCATCATGGATGACGATGGGGGCCGCTGCTCTCCCCACATGCGCCCTCGCTCCCGCAGCCTCAGGTTAGACACAGCAGCGGCGCTCATGAAATTAAACAGCAGCGTCTGCTGCCCAGCGCACTGTCCTCTTTTCAGAGGCACTACTTAAAAGCAGATTTGCCGGGTCACCAGTGGTTGAGCTTACTGCTTTTATGTAACATCTTTGTTTTTATCGTTAAAGAGGCCTTTAACCAATAAAAAAATATTTTAGCTTATATAGGATCACAAGTCAGAATATTTTTAATTGGACATAAAATCCATGCAGAAAACATCAGTTTTAGGCTCATGACCTGTTATAATTTTTATGTAAAAAGTGATCTTTTGTTGGATAGTTTAAAAAAATTAAGCTTTTTGGATGAAGTATACAAATGATAATCCTACTGGAGTAGATTAATAATGCATAGGTTATATAATCACAATATACTCAAAGTAAATAAAGTAAGTAAAAGTACTTCTGTGTCAAATTACACTTTTCAGAATTTGATACATGACAGTAACGGATGATAATTATGATTTATTAACGTGTAGATCTCATTATTGTTGCAGCTGGGGATTTAAGTACTTTTAAATGGATTTATAATAATCCAATAATCCTGATAATCCAAAACTTTAAGATAAATAGTACGGAGTTCAGAGTACAATACTTGCATCCAAAATACATAAAAAGAAAGCAGCATGACACGGAAGTACGAGTACATTAAACCTCAGTAAAGTCATCAAGTAAATACGTATATAAACCAGTACTGTCTTTTAGTATTGATTAGGTATTAGAGTATTGAAATGCCAACAGTTTATGGGCAAAACACCTCTATAAAAAAACAAAATGTCAGTAATGTCTTAGTTAACTTTTCATGTATAGTCAACACAAATAATTTTGAAAACTATGATTGAATTTTGTCTTTTGGTGTGAATAATTACTTTAGTTCCAATCACTCCCTTTTATTGAAAACTATCTACTGTTTTTTTCATTTTACAGTGCGTCTTGAAGCCTATTTTAAATGTATTTCAGATATGTCGATTATAGCATTGATCTCATTATATAACAGTTTTCAGCCCTTGCTTTGGAAAAGCTGAATTTTTTCCCCTGTGTCCCTCTGCAGCCCAGGACGCTCCTCCTCCTGCTACGATAACGAGATAGTCATGATGAACCACGTGTACAAAGAGCGTTTTCCAAAGGTTAGACACGCACACACACACACTAACACAACATACACACAGAGACTTGCAAAGAGCCTTCACGATAACATCATATTCTGTTTAAATGCACACAATAGTAAACTTTTGGAGCCTTTTCGGTGCTCAGTTACTAATTAAAAACAGTCAAAGCTCTGCAGTTTGTGATTAAACATTATCAGAGATCTGTGTATGCAAATGTTTTATATCCTGCATCCAAGAAACTGGGAAAGAACCGTAACCATGTGGGCTGCTAAACCATAGCAAACAAGATTATGAGAACGTGCCAAGCTCCATTCACCCCGTCAGTGTGAATATTACGTTTATTCAGTGCATGTAAAAATACTGCTCCAGTTATGAACACTGAAATAAAGCCGGTCGGTGAGGTCGGTATCAGAAGGAAAGAAGCTGAAAGCTTTGACAGTGATAAAAATCAAACCATAGGAAATTGAGCATTATATTTTAGAGTTCATCTGCGGTAAAAGCTCTTTGGGCTTGTTCTCACACAAGTGAAATGAAAAAAAGAAAAAGACATTGTGCTGAAGTCTGACTAAATCAGCAGAGCCACGCTGTCTGAATCGCAAATGAAACGGCTTCCTGAACTTTCTCTCGCATAAATCCGGCCAAGCTAAGAAAATAAATCTTTTCCTAAACCTAATCTCCTCTGCTGTCTTCTTACGCCACCTTGTCCCCCACCAGGCCACGGCTCAGATGGAGGGGAGGCTGGCTGAGTTCATCCAGGCTTACTTGCCTGAAAGTGTTCTTCCGCTGGCCGATGGAGTCCTCAGCTTCATCCACCATCAGATAGCAGAGCTGGCCAGAGACTGCCTGGCCAAAGCTCGCGAAGGCCTCATCACCTCTGTGTACTTCTTCGAGCTACAGGAGAATCTGGAAAAGCTGCTTCATGATGTGAGTTTTTGGCAATCGCCATCTTGTTTTTTTGAAACTGGACGTCCCTGGGTTTGACCGAGAAACCGAGGAACGCTGCGCACTCATAAGTAGCAACTTGCCAGTCACATTGTAGCCACACACTAAATCATTTCCTACTAAATAGGACCATAATTTACAAAATGAACATCATGCTGGATTTAATAAGACTTGAAGTTGGAGATTAAGACCACAAATTCATCAAGAAAGTATTTACTAAGGCCCATTTTCTTTACTCAATGGGACTTCTTTTTGCAACCAGACAACTTAACTGCTCCTCTTCACTGGAAAAGGTTTAAGGCACAGTTTACCCCAGCTCCACTGAATTTTAGCATCTTTTATCTATTATATAAAGCATGTGTTGTATTCTTAGTACAGTGGCTTTGTCATAAATAGGAACAGATTCAAAGGTGACAGCCAGTAGCTTTTTTGGGATCGTGTGGATGACGGTACATTTAAAATGACTTTATAGAGGAAAAAAATACCAGTGCTGTTCTCTGAGAGTGGTCAGTAATGGTGAACATCATAGAGAAATCAAGAGGGGGGGGGGGGGGGGGGACAGAGACTTAGAGATGTACTGTATGGTAAACTGAATCTAGACTGCTTAGAACTGAAGATGATGCTTGCATATATGCAGTATTGGGCAAGTTACTTTGAAAAAGTAATTAATTATAGTTACTAGTTACTTCATCAAAAAAGTAATTGAGTTAGTAACTGAGTTACAATATTCTAAAAGTAATTAATTACTTGAAAAGTAACTATTGCATTACTTAAAAAAACCTCTGGGGTCCAGGGTATAATTGCCCATTTTTAACTACTTTTGATTTTCCCTCCACATTTTACCTTTAAAAACTATTTACTTTGCCTTGTTTGGTATCATCCTTTTCAGCACAACCTCACGTGTCTGAATTTACAGTTATGTTTTCATTTTGACATACTGTATTAACACAACTGATCTAAAATCAGACAAAAAACATAAAATCAGTAGAAAAAGTATATTTTTACTGTAACAACCACAAACATGTTTAATGAATCACATTTCACAACTTTAAATGCAAATATAAATTGTCAATTTTAAAATCATATGCACAAGTTTTGCAAACAACAAGTTATTTGCAGCCATTTACCTTTTACCTTGATTTTTTAAATAACCATTTCAAACTATTTACAGAACAATCAGCTGTTCTGCATTCAATAAGATGCCACACAAATTATTTGTGCCACTCCAAAAAAATAATTTCTGTCCACTATAAAGGAGAAAATCAGAGCCTGATACCTGCAGGTCTGACAGCAGCAGGTGTATCACTCCTTGTTGCTTTGTCATCTTGAAGTGGTCATGTGATTGGCTTACCACGACTACTTTATTCTTCCTCGGTCAAACAGCAGCGCTCATGCGATTGTTTTGCCCCCTTAGCTCCAGGTGTTGTGCTAGACAGTGATCGTGATTACCGTCTGCGGGAGTGCGCGCAGCTGCTTAAAGCTGTAGCGTCCAGATTACTCACAGTTACTTCCATGCAACTGATATAAGATGCAGTAAGCTGAACACAGCTTCAACCATCTGTTTGTTGAAAAATAGTAACTGTAACGGCGTTGTAACGATAGGAATAGTAATCAGTTGGATTACTCGATACTGAAAAAACGCCGTTATTCCCATCACTGCATATACGGGTATCACCCTATCAATTACAAGCAAACATGCAGCTTCCATGTGTTTTTTTCCTAGAGGAAACAGATTAGCAAGATTACTGATTAGCATCACACCCCAGTAAGATTTACGAATGTAAAGTGTAAAACATGTGAACTGTGTGGTCGGATCCATCATTCCTGTCACAATCATCAAACACCTGGGTGAGCTTTTGTAAAGAGCAATATCAAAGAGTGACCAATGGGAACATTTTGGAGAAAGGCTGAGCGGTGGTGCCGTATCCACTTCTTCGAATATATCCATGAATTGTGTGGCTCACAACTGAGCTCCTTTAAGTTTCTCTTATTTGGCCTTCATCAACCTGATTCTTAGCCACAACAGGCAGCTGTTTCCAGCTAAAATGGTTGCCAAACCCAGTGTGATGTACCAAATAACATGCCACACCAAGTAACAGACTGAGTGCTGAACATAGTGGAGACTCCTCATAAAAGAGGCACTGTGATGTCACCCAAGTGTTTGAACAGTCTGTATTTTAAATCCTCAAGCAGAGCAGTTTCACTGTTGCCATATGGAAAGTGTGCAGGTCATATATGACTGTAAATCAAGAGAATGCGCTCTGATATGGGACATAAGACATAAGGTACATCTGCACTAAAGCAAAGCCTGCTTTATTGTTCTTCTAGACATTAAAGAGGTCTCAAATTTACAAAAGAAACTACATGCTGTGCTTAATATGACTCGAAACTAGGGACCAAAACCACGAACTCTACAGGATGATGTTTACTGAGGTCATTAAATCAAATGAGCTGCAAGTTCCTTTCCTCGTATATTTCTATGCTAGTGGACTTCCTTTCTGCAGCCAGATTAGTCGCCCCCTGCTGTTCATTAGAAAGAATGCAAGCCTGAAAACAGCCATTTCTATGAAATTAAATAAAAATATAAAAATTAGACTTTTTTCATTTATATTTGTATTAAACAGTTTCTTTTTCCATAGAATGCCTTTTTTTCAACAAAAGTATTCAAATAGTGAGCAGGAGAGAAAGGTGAAGCAGATGAACTGCATAAAGATTAATTTGTAGATACGCTTTGTGAGTAAACATCAATAAAACAGATCATGAGCAGATCAGGTACAGGTGATGGGGATATGCGAAGCTTTGCAAGATTTGTGATTAAGTGATTCACCTCAGGTCTTTTTAATTAGATTCAAACACACAAAGCCTTTGGCGAGAGCCAAATTGGAGGCTAATTGTGCATGTGATTTGCCAGAGAAGATAACAGGTATCTGCGAATTTCATAGAGCCCATCTTTACAGCTTGATTAGATTGCTGTGATTACCCTGGGTTGCCTGGATTAGGTTTGATTGGATCAGCTTTTTGATTATGTACCTTCGTGCCTCCGTCTGTCTTTTGACTGACAGATTTTCTCTGTCTTGTGTGCATGTTTTATTGTTGTCAGATGTCACTTTTTGCAAATGTTAAAAATGCTGATGCATATCTGTCTTTCTGCCTCTCTGTGTGTCTGTACGTCAGGCATTTGAGCGCTCGGAGAGCTCCGAGGTAATCTTTGTCACGGAGTTGGTGAAAAAGCTTCTGATCATCATCGCCAGACCTGCAAGGCTTTTGGAGTGTCTGGTAGGATCACACTCACACTTATCAGTATTTACCCACCCATCGACTGCTGCGATGATCACAATCCTCCTCCAGCCCCATGATTCATCACAGAACTTCTCACAGCTCCTGTGACTCGAGGCAAATTGCTTTATTTTTAAAAAGCAATCATCAGCGCAAAAACATATTTGTAGCCCCTTATGAGCATTTTAACAGTCTGATTTTATACACAGCAGGAATGTGAAATGAAAACAAGCAAACCAGTCTAAGACTTGGTCCAGTCTGTCTGGATGGCGGAGACATTTGCATTTAGATTAAATTTGCCTTCCCAGAGTACGGCTAATACCAGGCAGTAGCCCCCTGCTGCTCGGCTGCCTTCCAGCCTGCCTCAAACATACCGTGACCACGTTGTCGTTTAAAGTTGAAGGATGTCTGTGTGTGTGTGTGTGTGTGTGTGTGATATGGTTTTTGTCTATGGAGCCTGCTGTGACTTGGTGTTTCGTAACAGGATATCAGTTGTGCATCCCTGCATGAGTCATGCCAAGCTGACGTGGTTCTTGATTGTGAGAGACAGCTCAGACGGTGACGTGGAGAATTGATTCATTGGGCTTGTTCCAGTCTCTCCTGGCGAGCACGCCTAATTGAAAATTAAATTATTCTTTACGTCAAACTAGTTTATCTGAAATCATAACTGTAAAAATAAGCCGAATTTAAAATCCTTCTCTTCACATGCAAAGTCCCGAGTGATCATATTTTAGAGCGTGTGTGCTTTGTGGAATGGGAGGCAGATTCTTCCGCTGTAAGGCACCTCTCCTCAGGAACCAGCTCCCAGTTTAAGTTCAGGAGACAAACACATCCTCTCTGCTTTTAAGACTCATAACTTTTTGATAAGACTTGTAGTTAAAGCAAGATTAGGTGATATTAGTGGTTTTGCTACAGGCTTACGCTACAGAGCACTAAACTCCCTCTTTTTTACTCACAATGCATTTCTATGCCACTACAGCTTGTCATGAACTTTTTCTTTCTCTTTTTTCTCCCATAGTTTTGCCACATTTCTTGTTTGTCAGCTCTTCTTTTTTGTCTTTTCTTTAAAGATTCTCAGCTGAGAATCATTAAAGCGATGATTAGAACTTCCAGTCAATGAATGAATTAAAACAGATTAATGTGAATTTCAAAATCTTATCTGGTTTTCATATGAACCTATTTTCAGTGACATCGGCTTCAATGCCATGAAATTAACTAGGCTTCGAATTTTTTTCTTTCACTCTTATTTGCCAGATTTTTCAAGTAACCTATATTTGACAACAGCTTAATAAAAGTGGAAATTCTGTTTTTAGTGTGCCACAAAAATATTTTTACCGGCCCCCATATGGCGCCCTCTATAATAAAAAATTCTGGAGGCGCCCCTGCTTTTCTTTTCCTTCACACCCCCTCCCCTACCCCCACCACCTACAAGTCACACCTAATGGCCACTACACAACCTAAAGCACTTTGAAACTACTGTTTGTTGTGAATTGGCATCATATTGATCTTCTCTGTTTATGCACAGCAGATTCTCAAATGTGACACGTGGTATTAACTTTTGCAAGGAAGACGAGCTGATGCTTCTTTTCCCTGCCCCGTTCTGACCACCACCATCAGTTCCTCAGTAGCAGCACAGACTACAAAAACAAATCCTGGGCTGATCCAGAGGCAGTCATTCATGAAATGACTTGGATATTTTATTAAATTCACAACCAAATGCCAGGATAACTCAAAGGAAAATTAAATCACCACAAATCACTCTAATTTAATGTAGCTGATTGAATAATTATTGGATGAGCTCCAAAACTTTATACCTGATGACATCAGCTGCTCAGGTTTTATTGTTGTTCTCTGCAGGAGTTTAACCCCGAGGAGTTTTACCATCTGCTGGAGGCAGCTGAGGACCACGCCAAAGAGGGTCATCTGATGAAAACAGATATCCCTCGTTACATCATTGGCCAGCTGGGGCTTACTCGAGACCCGATTGAAGGTGGGTAGAGGAACTTTAAACAATTAACAGGTTTAAACAGGGCCTATTATGGACATTTATGAATTTATAGTTTTATCCTTAGTTTTATCACAATTCCAAATTATTCTTATTTATATCATGCTGGGCCTTGCTGTAGCCACTCATATCATATGGTGCCTGATACAAGACATTTTAGCTTGTCTCCAGTGAGGCCTGTCCCACAGTTTGGGAACCACTGCATTAAGCCAGCTTTCTTGGTATTGGCTCTTTCTCATAAACAGAAGGTTTAAATAACAGATGTGTGGCACTTCTGGAGTCTCACATATACCAGTGTGTAATCTGAGCTTGCATAACTACTGGCATGTTTATTATAAGCTCAATAAGAGCCCTTTTATATGACATAAATAAAGGAAAGCAAAACAGTCTCCTTATTAGAAAATAAAATGACTACCAGATTTTTTTGATCAAACATGTGTTTGTCATCAGATATGGTTTACTTGGAAAGTTATGACAGCGAGGGACCAGTGACACCTGAAACAGATGACTCCACAGAGGTGAGATCCAAAATGTTCCCCAGTCTGGTCGTTTCTGCTGGCTGAACGTGGCTGAAAGGTTGTTGAAAATGTTTTCATCTGCTGATGACTTGGCAAACAGGCTTGTGTCCATTCAATTAGCTCATTTGCACTGAGGCTGTTGAACCCAGATCCACCCCTTCCTTGAATCACATGGCCTCCAAATTAGGATAAGCAGACAAAAAACTATAATAAAAAACAGGAAGGAGGACATAGGAAATGCCTGGAGCAGGTTCTGCTTATCTGTGCAGACAATATAAATGCAAAGACTAATTTAACAGGTGACAAAAATGATATAGAACGTGCTTTCTATCCTCCCACTGGATGATATTTAATCTTTGCATTGTGATCTTTGATCCACAGGGTAAGATGAGAGCAATGAAACCACCAGGAGAAGCAGACTTCCAGACCATCAAGCTGATAAGTAACGGAGCATATGGGTGAGCAGAGCTTTTCTCCCTCACATATGTGCTTTTTTTCCCTTTACAAGCACACAGAGCCAGTGAAAATAAAATGGTCAAACTGCATGCCTCTCTGGCTGTGTCTGCATGTGAACCAGCGCTGTTTACCTGGTGCGGCATCTGGAGACACGGCAGCGATTTGCCATGAAGAAGATTAACAAGCAGAACCTGATACTGAGGAACCAAATCCAGCAGGCCTTCGTAGAAAGAGACATTCTCACCTTTGCAGAGAATCCCTTTGTCGTCTCCATGTTCTGCTCCTTTGAAACACGTCGGCACCTCTGCATGGTCATGGAGTACGTAGAAGGTGAGGACAGGTCTACATGTGCAAAACAAAAAGTAACCCAATCAGTGACAGTCGTTTTATTCAGACAAGTTTACAGTCTGTCTAGCTAATATTTTAGCAACATTTTACATTATAGTATTTAAAACTAGAAAATGCATTTTCTGAAGAAACTGCTGTGTGAATGCTGCTAGCTGAATGTTTTGAGCTGAAATGAAATAATTGCTGAATGTTAAGTTAAAAATGTTGAATGAGATGAAAAATGCAGAATTTGTCACGTGAAAACAAAAGTGTAGAACGGTTGAAAACTGGCGTTCACACAGAAGAAGAAGTTGAAAAGTAGCTGAACATGTTTAAAATATAAATTAGAAAAAGCTAAGTAATTACAAAAGAAAATTTAGAGTCAGAAAGCATCTGAAGTAATATTAAAAGTTCATATTCTTTTAATCACTGAATGACTGAAATGCGATCCCTCTATTTGGATCCACACAGTTTAAAAAGTTTACATCTCTGAGCTTCAGAAGACACGCTGTTGGAAAGAGAACAACAATGGCTACATTTTGAGGGTAAAATGATAGCTGTAGAGCAAACGCTGTTGACACAGCAGCAGTTAAAACAGAAGTTTTTAAGATTAATCTTGGCAGAGTGACAGACAGAGCTCATTTAAGGATGCAGGTGTGAGCCTGGCTGCTATAGTGACTCCAGCCAGTGGCACCAGAACAGAAAAGTGACTCTCAAACAAATGCTTCCAAAGACAAAACTACAAGTTGTATTGACAGAATTCCTTCACCGTGAGCGGCAGCAATGTCGAGTCTACACAATTCTCAGTTTTCATGCCTGTGGAGTTTATTATATGGACGTGGTGACAGTGTAAAGACAGCCTGTACTTCTGACTTTTAGACAAATTTTGGGAGCCAACTCTACTCTTCTATGGAAGAGTTTGATGTAGGAGGCTGTGCATTGGTGACATTTATGAAAGAACCATACCATCTATTACAATAATAATAACATTGAATGAAAGAGGGCAACAATGGCTACGTTTTGAGGGTAAAATGATGGCTGTAGACCAAAAGATAGCGTACAAAAAACGTACGGAAGATGAAAAGTAGAAGAACAATACTGTGGATGCTTAATCAGCATTAATCCAGCTATGGAGCACATATGTTTTCTAAGCCAGCGGTCCCCAACCTTTTTTGTGCCACGGACCGGTTTATGCCCGACAATATTTTCACGGACCGGCCTTTAAGGTGTCGCGGATAAATACAACAAAATAAAACTAGTACTGGTACCGAAAAAAAGAAAATTTATTCATAACACACGTGAAAAGACCCAGGAAAACCGAGTAAACGATAACAAAATAACGCTGAAAACCGATAAAAACTATACATTTCACACCTGAGCCTCAACTCTCGCGGCCCGGTACCAAATGACTCACGGACCGGTACCGGTCCGAGGCCCGGGGGTTGGGGACCGCTGTTCTAAGCTGTTAACTGGTTAGTGAGCTAAATGTTCCTGTTTGTATACACCATAACCTAAATCCCACCGTATATTGACTGAACTGAATATCATGACACATTTCCTTAAATGTAAACTCAGTGTGCTTCCCAAAGTGGCACAGTTATCATGTGCAGGCCTGTGGAAATGGTTTTGAGTCTGTTTTTGAGACACAGTAGTAATTGATCTGAGGTCAGCAGGCAGCTTGTTCCAAATAATAGGACCAGAGTAACTGAAGCGCTCTCAGCAGATTTAGATCTGATTCTGGGAACAAGTGAAGGATCAGCACCTGCTGACCTGAGAGGTCTCATTGGGTTATAGACACTGAGAGCTTTTTGAAGAAGTAAGGATTTCATTTATTTATAATCCAATAATAATTGGAGACTCGTTTGATGCTTCTGTTTAACTAATGTCATTATTATTACTAAATATTAGTGATAAAAGGCTTTAACAAGACGCTCTTAGAAAGATGTAGCACATTTTGGGGTCAACTTGAAAGAAAGGAAGATGTGAAATGTAGGTCGGTGAGGTCAGAGGTCAAAGGTGACATGATATTTTGTAACATTTCCTAAATGTTCCCAATACAATACAAAGGCAGCAGCAAACTTATGAAAGTTTGACCTTATTTGACCTTGAAGAAGAGGTCAGAGGTCCAGTGTAGGTTCCCTGTGTGCCTGTATGTTGTCAATACAAACAATCACAATAAGAAGCATAGTTTTAAATAACTATATAGCATTACTATGTGTGCTTGTCAGCCTAAATAGGAGTCTAGCACAAAAGCCACCAGGAGCCAATCATTGTAACTGGTGAGTACCCGGGACACTAATCAAATATTGAATTGTGTTGGCAGGTGGGGACTGTGCCACCCTGCTAAAGAACATCGGGGCTCTGCCCGTGGAAATGGCACGCATGTACTTTGCAGAGACAGTCCTAGCGCTGGAGTACTTACACAACTATGGCATTGTGCACCGTGACCTCAAACCTGACAAGTAAGATGGAGCTAGTTTCTGTCACACAGGGGCAAAGAGAGCAAGCGCCAATTATTTGCTAAGATGTACAGTGGGGCAAAAAAGTATTTAGTCAGCCACCGATTGTGCAAGTTCCCCCACCTAAAATGATGACAGAGGTCAGTAATTTGTACCAGAGGTACACTTCAACTGTGAGAGACAGAATGTGAAAAAAAAATCCATGAATCCACATGGTAGGATTTGTAAAGAATTTATTTGTAAATCAGGGTGGAAAATAAGTATTTGGTCAATAACAAAAATACAACTCAATACTTTGTAACATAACCTTTGTTGGCAATAACAGAGGTCAAACGTTTACTATAGGTCTTTACCAGGTTTGCACACACAGAAGCTGGTATTTTGGCCCATTCCTCCATGCAGATCTTCTCGAGAGCAGTGATGTTTTGGGGCTGTCGCCGAGCAACACGGACTTTCAACTCCCGCCACAGATTTTCCATGGGGTTGAGGTCTGGAGACTGGCTAGGCCACTCCAGGACTTTCAAATGCTTCTTACGGAGCCACTCCTTTGTTGCCCGGGCGGTGTGTTGTGGATCATTGTCATATTGGAAGACCCAGCCTCGTTTCATCTTCAAAGTTCTCACTGATGGAAGGAGGTTTTGGCTCAAAATCTCACGATACATGGCCCCATTCATTCTGTCCTTAACACGGATCAGTCGTCCTGTCCCCTTGGCAGAAAAACAGCCCCATAGCATGATGTTTCCACTCCCATGCTTCACAGTAGGTATGGTGTTCTTGGGATGCAACTCAGTATTCTTCTTCCTCCAAACACGACGAGTTGAGTTTATACCAAAAAGTTCTACTTTGGTTTCATCTGACCACATGACATTCTCCCAATCCTCTGCTGTATCATCCATGTGCTCTCTGGCAAACTTCAGACGGGCCTGGACATGCACTGGCTTCAGCAGCGGAACACGTCTGGCACTGCGGGATTTGATTCCCTGCCGTTGTAGTGTGTTACTGATGGTGACCTTTGTTACTTTGGTCCCAGCTCTCTGCAGGTCATTCACCAGGTCCCCCCGTGTGGTTCTGGGATCTTTGCTCACCGTTCTCATGATCATTTTGACCCCACGGGATGAGATCTTGCGTGGAGCCCCAGATCGAGGGAGATTATCAGTGGTCTTGTATGTCTTCCATTTTCTGATGATTGCTCCCACAGTTGATTTTTTCACACCAAGCTGCTTGCCTATTGTAGATTCACTCTTCCCAGTCTGGTGCAGGTCTACAATACTTTTCCTGGTGTCCTTCGAAAGCTCTTTGGTCTTGGCCATGGCGGAGTTTGGAGTCTGACTGTTTGAGGCTGTGGACAGGTGTCTTTTATACAGATGATGAGTTCAAACAGGTGCCATTCATACAGGTAACGAGTGGGGGACAGAAAAGCTTCTTACAGAAGACGTTACAGGTCTGTGAGAGCCAGAGATTTTCCTTGTTTGAGGTGACCGAATACTTATTTTCCACCCTGATTTACGAATCAATTCTTTACAAATCCTACCATGTGGATTCATGGATTTTTTTTTCACATTCTGTCTCTCACAGTTGAAGTGTACCTCTGGTGCAAATTACTGACCTCTGTCATCATTTTAAGTGGGGGAACTTGCACAATCGGTGGCTGACTAAATACTTTTTTGCCCCACTGTATAAACAAGGTTTAGACTGCTCAAATGTAACTTTTGTCTTTCTGTTCTCAGCCTCCTAATTACCTCAATGGGCCACATCAAACTGACTGACTTTGGCCTGTCGAAGATGGGTCTGATGAGCCTGACCACCAACTTGTATGAAGGACACATAGAGAAGGATACTCGAGAATTTTTGGATAAACAGGTATGACCAAAGCGAAGTCAGATACACAGCCATTTACTCAGATCTTAATTTGTTTAAATAAAGTCTGACAAAACATCTGAATTTTACAAATTAATAAAACTCTCTGCTATATTAAAACTAAGTATCGAGCGAATGTGAGTCAATTTAAATTAATTGTACTGTACACATCAGGACAACTGTGTGTGTGTGTGTGTGTTTTATTTTATCAGCATTAAAGTGTAGACTACAGTATGATCCAAGCAAAGTTTCACCATCAAATTTCCTTTGAATGCTACATTTCCATTGTGTGGCAGGTGTATCTGACAAATATGGCACAGTTGGCACAACAGTAGACCAGCCTTTCCTTGGTTATAATAATTTCTCTTTCAGGAAAGGCTTATATTTCCAGGGCTTTTATTCAGCACTCGCTTTGAATTTAAGCCTCATTATTTCACGTGCATTCATCACGTCGACCACATATGTGTTAGGATTCAGTGCATGCCCATCTGCACATGAAAAAACACCCACCGGGGCTTTCATCTTGTCTTGGCATCTTTGAGGTGATGGCTTGGCTAAGCATAAATATGCATGCTCCCCACATGCTGTGTGTTTCTCGCTCTGTGACGACTGTAGGAGCGACTGTACGGTTGTAAATAATGAATACACGATTCAGTTAGATGTGAAAGAAATGTTATTAGCAGCAAAAATGCACACGCCTGTAAGGATGAGTGGGTCCCAAGTAATTCACAAAAATCGGAGTTCATAAAATTTAAGAAACGACCGATTGCTGCTTTACTTTAAGGTGTGCGGAACTCCAGAGTATATCGCCCCAGAGGTTATTCTTCGTCAGGGTTATGGAAAGCCAGTGGACTGGTGGGCGATGGGCATCATCCTGTATGAGTTCCTGGTGGGCTGCGTGCCTTTTTTTGGAGACACTCCAGAGGAGCTGTTTGGACAGGTCATTACAGGTGAGAGATCAAAGTATCTCAGTAGAAATAGCATCATTGGACACCGAGCGCAGCTGATAAGTAAAACAAACTGTTAGTCATGTACCATAATCTCTCTCTCTCTCTGTCGGCTTGTTTCTGGTAGATGACATAGTGTGGCCAGAAGGAGATGAGGCTCTTCCTGTTGATGCCCAGCACCTGATCTCCTCTCTTCTGCAGACAAATCCGCTGGTTCGATTGGGCACAGGTCAGTCTCCTACAGCAGAGCTTCTGGCTTCTCCAGGATTCAGATGAAATCGTGTAGTGATTCCTCACCACCTGAAGTTATTTTCTATGTGCATTTAAATTTGAATCAGACTTGACGCAGATTTATGCATCACAGATATTTTATGGTTCCAATATTTTTGCACTATTCTAACCATATTTGTTTACTCTCAGCTGTGGTAATAATTGATTTTTCCGCTCAGACCTCTCTGCTAGTTTTCATTCACTCTTTAGTCCAGTGTATGGTGTAATGCTTACATGTGGAAATGATGTAGGCTCACCAGCCACTTCATTTGGTACACCTGTTCAACTCCCACTTAAAACATCTAATCAGCCAATCACATGGCAGCAACTTAGTGCATTTAGGCATATAGACATGGTTAAGGTAACCTGCTTAAGTTCAAACTGAGCAAACTGAACATCTCTATGGTTTACAGCAAATGCTCTAAAAAGAGAAAATATCCAATGAGCAGCAGTTCTCTGGGTGAAAATGTCTTGCTGATGTCAGAGGAGAATGGCCAGACTGTTTTGAGCTGATAGGAAGGAAAAGGTAACTCAAATTTTTACAATCAAGATATACAGAAAAGCATATCTGAATGGACAACATGTCGAACCACCAGCAGCCAAGACCACACCGGGTGTCACTCATGTCAGCTTAATAACAGGAAACTGATGACTGGAACAGGAAACCGGACAATAGAAGATTTGAAAAAACGTTGCCTGATGTAATGAGTCTCGATTTCTACTGCACAATGAGATGGTGGGATCAGAATTTGGCATAAACAGCATGAAAGCATGTACCCATCCTGCCTTTTACCAACAATTCAGGCTGGTTATGGTGTTTCTTGGCCCACTAGAGACACTATTTTAAAACAGTGCTAATTGAGCATTGTTTAAAATCCTCAGCCTACCTATTGCTGCTGACCATGTCCATCCCTTTATAACCACAGTCTACCCTTCACCAGTCATCTTCTGATGGCTGCTTCGAGCAGGATAACAGACCATGTCACAAACTTCAAATCATCTCAAATTAGTTTCTTGAAGTTGACAATGAGTTCAGTGTAACCACATGGCTTCCTCAGTCACCAGATACCATCTAATAAACCTTACTGTACTGGTCTGTTTTCTCAGCAGTGAAACAAGACACTGTATATGCTTTTGTCTCTATCCAGGACTTTTATTTGTAGTTCAGTTGTTTTTTTGTGGGTTTTTTTACTGTGCTGTATTAGTACTTTCATCTAAGAAATGCATATGAATACTTCTTCCACCACTGCACATCCCTCTTGGGTACACCTAACCCTGACTGGGGCTCGCTGACCTAGAACAATAACTGTCATCGTGCGCGCTGGCTTACGGGTTCAGTTTACCCAAATAAGTCAGCTTCATTCAGGGTAGAAATGCCTCCACATGCTTGAGGGCTGCTATTACTACCTGTCTGTCATCGCGCTCCCTCATTCTCTCTTTTTACATCCACCTCCTTTCCTTTGCTCTGCCCCGAAGGTGGTGCTTTTGAAGTGAAGCAGCACTCATTCTTCACTGAGGTGGACTGGAACAGCCTGCTGAGACAGAAGGCAGAGTTCATCCCTCATCTAGAGTCAGAGGAAGACACCAGTTATTTCGACAGTAAGTTCCCCTTTGGGAATGAAGGAATGGTATTGAAGAGAATGAATTCCAGCACAGATCCTTTAAACCTTAGGAATTTCTTATTCTTGGAAACAGGTCAAGGTCTTTAACTCTCCCATGTAAATGTTAGCATAAAGCACATTCAGTCAGCAGTGGCTGACTGAATGTACATTACTTCTCACCCCCAGCTCGTTCAGAGCGCTATCACCACGTGCATTCATACGATGAAGACGATACCAATGACGACGAGCCCGTGGAGATTCATCGCTTCTCGTCGTGTTCCCCTCGCTTCAGTAAGGTCAGGACCTAAACTTTTATTTTTCTGTCAGCGTTTATTCATCAGTCTACATTCAAATCAATCAAAAGAACCCAAATATTTACTGTTATGCTGCACCGATGTGAAGGTATACAGCAGTATGGAGCATCTGTCTCAGCTGGAGCATAAACCCCATGGCGTGACTCTACGGGAGCACAAGGTCCCCAGGGAGGATCGCTTAGCCAAGAGAGAAAGCCTGGGAAGTGTCACCCTTCGAGATAAGAGCTGGAGGACTGGCTCACCGGAGATGTGAGTAAAAGCACAGTTAATAAAAAAAGTGCTATCTGTGTTTCCGTTTGTTTTTGATCTTCTACCTGGGTTCATTGGCATTGAAAGTTTATTTCAGAATATAATTGTCTTTGGTTTTCAGGAAGCGTTTATCCTGCTCAGAGTCCTCCTTCACTGAGAGTGATTCCAGCCCTCCGTCTGGGGCACGGAGGCGCTTCTCTGCTCTTATGGATTCTTACCGATTGGCCTCCCCTCTGGAGTTGGACTCTGAGCTGCCTGTCCCGGGCAGACAACCTCCAGTGAAGGCCAGGGGAACGTCTCTGGAAGGAGCCATGAGTACCATCTCTTCTCAAGGCGACCTGAGGGCATTCCTTAAAGAAAGTAATGGCTTTGCAGCTGCCGGTAAGAAAAATGAGGAACCATCTCATGACTTGAACAATTTCATTTGTCACCCCAAAACATGAAAACATATATTTCCTATCACCTTTCATGTCTCTGCCTTATTACAGACAAACTGTTGAGACCTGCTGATGCATCACTGCCCCTGCCAAGCAGTGCTACCATTCTGGGGCTCCCAGACCCACAGGGGACTTGTGGGGCCACCACAGACCTGGTGCTGCGAAGAGTTCGCCACCAGCAGCTCTCGGAAGGAGAAAAACGCAGCTCAAGACCAGGAACTAAAGTTATCAAATCTGCCTCTGCCACTGCTCTGTCTGTCATCATTCCAGCAGGTAAAGGCATTTCTTTTACTGCATTAACAAAGACATTTTAAAAAATAGTGTTTAGAAATGAATCTTTTGTGCTTTCTCTCCTCAGTGGAACAACACGGTGCATCCCCTCTGGCGAGCCCCATGTCGCCCCGCTCCCTCTCGTCCAACCCTTCCTCTCGTGACTCATCCCCCAGCCGAGGCTACTCCCCGATGGTCAACATCCTGCATTCTCCCATTACCATCCACCGCTCTGGGAAGAAGTACGGCTTCACCCTCCGAGCTATCAGAGTCTACATGGGAGACAGCGATGTTTACAGCGTGCATCACATGGTCTGGGTGAGAGAGCAAAGCAAACAGGATGCAGAAATCTTGATTTCTCCCTTTAAAGCAATGCAGAAACAAATGTGATTATTACTATTTATTCGCATAGCGCCTTTAATGTGATTCTGCAGAACAGCCCATGCAGAGTACCATACAGTATCTGAAGGTAACTGGGCTAATATACTTAGTAGTCAAATCTGTGATGTTTTTTTGTTCCAATCACAGCATGTGGAAGATGGAGGTCCGGCTCAGGAGGCTGGACTTAGTGCTGGTGACCTCATCACTCATGTAAATGGAGAGTCAGTCCACGGTTTGGTCCATACAGAGGTAGTGGAGCTGATCCTGAAGGTAGGAGAGATCTATCCATCTAAAATAAAAACAATTTAAAAAACATCTATCTATATATTTATGTACTAATATAAATCATATAATTGTGCATCAACTGCAGAGTGGGAACAAGGTGACTATTACAACAACTCCTTTTGAAAACACCTCCATCAAAGTGGGTCCTGCCCGCAAGTCCAGCTATAAATGCAAGATGGCACGACGCATCAAGAGGACCAGAGCCAAGGACGGACAAGAGTGCGTCACTGCAGCATTCCAAGAAAACGTATCCCTCTGTCATTTAGATGATTTCACTCTAGTCATTCGGCTTTTTGTTCATCTTTCAGTAAGAAGCGCAGCTCCCTGTTCAGGAAAATTACCAAGCAGTCCAACCTGCTCCACACCAGCCGGAGCCTCTCGTCTTTAAATCGCTCCCTGTCGTCTGGAGACAGTCTCCCGGGCTCCCCCACCCACAGCCTCTCTGCCCGCTCGCCCACTCAGAGTTATCGTGGCGCTCTTGAATCCCCGCACCTGGGTTAGTATTTAAGGCGACCAGCACGTGTGCCTGTTATAATCTCGTTTAAAAGCAAAAAACAATTGGGGAGTAATGCGATGGAGGAAGATGCGTGTAATGTCTTGCCTGTGGAGTCCAGTGGGGAAGACTAAACATTAATCATTTCTCTATTAGTTATTGGGGAAGGAAATACTTTGAGTGTTTTTTGTTACTAACACTATATTTAGTTTAATTCATTTTTTGTGCTAGTTCACTAAAGCAGTTTCCTAATAATAATGAATTACAGTGGTCAAGTTAGAAGTAATGAATTCATTAACTAGCCTTTAAGCATCATTCTGAAACAGGATGTTTCTAATTTTAGAAATACCGCACAAATGACTAAAGGCTTAAAATACGCACTGAAGGACATATCTGGTCAAAAATGACTCCAATATTCACTGTGATATATAATCACAGTGTTACTGGAGGGCAGGGTAATGCCATAAAAGCATCTGGTAAGACATAATGTTTCTAAGATTAGGGCTGAGTACAATAATGTCATTTTATTTGAATTTAGAAGCAGGAAATTAGAGGTTGTGCAGGTCTTTAAGACATGCCTGTACTTTAACTAAACGATTTATATCATCTGGCTTAATGAATAGATAAAACTGGGTATAGAAATTAAAATGTATGGAGTGTTTTCTAGTAATATTGCCTAAGAGAAGCATATATAATGTTCAAAAGAAACTTTGTTTTGAGAAAAAAATAAGGTGAAAGAGCTGCGTTTAACATTGCAAGTATGTTTCATGTGTTTCATCACACTTATACTTTATATAATTTAGCCTACAACTCAAGACACATGAGTAGAAACACACACATATTCATTTTATTGTGTTGGGAAAAAAATATTCCAATATTCTTCTTTTTCCTCAGGTACATCATCCCAGAGCAGCTCCCCGGCCTCCAGCACCCCTAACTCACCTGCAACCACTCACCACATGAGACCCAGCTCCCTACATGGGCTGTCTCCCAAACTTCACCGGCAGTACCGCTCGGCTCGCTGCAAATCTGCTGGCAACATCCCATTGTCTCCCCTGGCTCACACCCCGTCCCCGACCACCTCCTCTCCTCCACCTCTCACTGGGCACACGGTAGGGAGCTCCAATACCACGCAGATGTTTCCTGCCAAGCTGCACTCCTCACCTCCTGTTGCCCGCCCACGTCCCAAGAGTGCGGAGCCACCCAGGTCCCCTTTGCTGCAGCGGGTGCAGTCTGCAGAGAAGCTAGGAGCACAGATTTTGCCTTCTTCATCATCATCATCGCCCTCTCCTCTGACAGGGGGGGTGTCATTACGCAAGCATAGCCTGGAGGTGACACACGGGGACTACAGGAGAGAGTCCTTCCACTGTGAGCACAGTCTACAAAGTCTGCTAGAGATGGAAGGAGAGAACGGACCCGCTCCCCCATCTCCTTCATCATCATCCTCCCCCTCTCCTCCTATGGGAGGGGAGGTTGGAGGCCTAAAGCCTGTGAGACGTCTGGGAAGGCAGGAATCGCCACTCAGCCGTGACACACTCTTAACAGCAAGAGAGAAAGAAGTCCAAATCACAGAGTCTGAGCTTGCTGGGTCACAAACTGAGAGTGCAGCTTCTAAAGCAGAGTCTAAGATGAGCGTCGTTGACACATGTAAAACGTTACTTCCTGCTGAGGTTGCAAAGAGTCATGGATGTGGAGCTGCAGTTGAAATCAAGTCCAGTGCTTCATCTTCAGAGGTTAAGCCTGGTTCTGGCATCAAAGCTCCAAGTTCAAGCCTTTCCGGTTCTGAGGCAGCAACTTTTAAGAGTAAACCCAGCGAAAAAATGTCTCCTTCAGGCACATCAAAGGGCCTGCTAAAGCAAGACTCCAAGCAGCAAAGTGCACAAACAGATAGTGGACCTGCAACAAAAGCTCAGGAGAAGACTGAGGAGAAGGCAAAAGGCCCTTTAGCTGCACACAAAGGGACCTTTCAGAAAGCACCTACAGAGCAGCTCAAGCAGCGTAAAGGTACAGACACGATAGAGAAAGGAGCAAGCTATAAAGCTAGTGATACCACCAAGCTCAAAGGACCTACACCTGTAATTCCAAACCAGGGTCAAGCCCACGCTGCAGCCAGATGCAAAGAGGAGAAGCCAACAAACAGAGGAGTCAAGGAGGAGAGGCAACACCTGGAGGTCCTGGAGGAGAACCCCATGTCGCCTCCCTCGAATGCAGCCTCACCCGCCTCGAGCAAGTCACGGCCCATGTCTCCAGGGGATAAAGCCAGCTTCGTTACCCAGCTAACAAGCGTGGCCAAAACAGTCCTCGGGCCTATGAAGGGGGGATCACAAGAGGGAGGCAAGGTAAAAGACATATCCAAGTCTGGCGAGGAGAAGCGGGGAAGCGCTGCAGGAAAAGGAGAAGCTTCGTCTGGCAGTCTCCGCCGGGGGGCTCAGACAGCAGCCAGCACTATCCAATCTGATAAAGGAAACATTCGCAGCTCTAAGCATCACTCGTGATAAGAGCTTCAGAGGGAGTGTGATTGTCCCATGCAATGCCTTTTTAACTGTAGCATCAAGCTAACATATCATGAATTTACACGAAATGTAAATGGAGAGACATGCTGAAAAAAAGACCAAAAAAGATGACAGAACAAAGTTGCATCAGCTGACTCCTGCTGGAAAACATGTGCACATGGTGTCCTAATGTAGACCTGTGTATGTACTGTATGTTCATCACATTATGTTGTATATAGTACAAACAAATGCATATGTCTGAATGCATGTCTAACACTGTACATGGGAAATGAAAGAATATTTAAAAAAATTAAAATTATACAGCAGACCTTAAGGTAGAGAACACTGTGAACAACTTTTCAACTGAACACAGCCACATGCGCAGACAGGTCGGAGTCTGTTATCCTTGTATGGGGGTCCAGTAGTGCCAAAATTATGTTCACGTGTTTGCCGTGTGTGTCGATTTGACATGTGACTAAATATTTTTTATGTCGTTTCAAAGACTTAACTCGTAGCAGAAAGAAAAAACTGTGAAAGACAGAATTGATTTTTTAAATGCTCTTATGTAATAGCATTTTTATTGTGAGTCAGCTCCACAATATGTTGAAGATTACTTTCTGTTATGGATCTCAGGCTCTGGAACAATCTGTGTAAGGTCCTTCCAAACAGCTGATAATTTTAAATAACTTTTAGAGACCCAACAAATTGTGTTTGCTTTTAGTCAAATTTGAGGCGTTACATAGTTTTTGTCAAGTCTCCTGTGAAAAATTTCTTACTGCTTGTTTACTCGGTTGCTGTTTGTTTCTATTTGTGAATTTTGATCAATTAATTTTTTACACTTGGGTTTACATTTCATGTTATTTATTTATTTATTTTAAATTAATTTTGCCTTTCATTTATGCTTTTCTTTTAATATTTAAACAGTTTTTAAACATCTCCTATTTCTTTGCTTTTAGAAACTCTTGGGTTTATTTTGCAGTTTGCTTTAGGTCATTATCCAGCTGCACCGTGAAGAGCTGTCTGATCAGTTTTGCAGTGTTTGTCTGAAACCGAGCAGAAAGCATGTTCCTGTACACTTCACTAAATGCATCCTGCTGCTTCTTTCAACGGTCACATCATCAATAAACACTAGTGCCTCAGTTCCACTGACAGCTAAACATGTCCATGCCATAACACTGCCTCCACCATGTTTGACGGATGATGCGGTGTGCTTCAGATCAGAAGCTGTTTCTCTTTTTCTCCTTATTTTTCTTTATTGATTATTCTGATCCTTCTGTATTTCATATTTGTAGGCTTTGACAACCTTCACAAAAGGGTTCCTAGAAAAGAAATCTGCAATCATTCACTTCACTTGTGTTTGAAAATGTCCCAAAAGCTTATGGAGCTAACTGTATGCTGGTTTCTACGTTTTGTATTTCTGCCCTGGACTGTTTCAAACATAACTTGACATGTTAAGCAGACATAAGCAGTGAGCATGTGAACATAATTTTGGCACACATGCCTCATTTAAATGGGCATTACATTACATCGGCTATATCATTTAGTTCAGTATGACACGAACTGTATTTTCTTTAGTCTTTAGTTACTAAAAGGGATCAGACACAGAAAGGTTTTTCATATGTCGTGCACTGGGGGGTCAAACAATCCTGAACTCTGGACCAAGATACTGGAATGGGGATCAGCTTGTTTGTTCCAGATGTGTTTAAGGGCTGGATTTTGAGACACTGGTGAGGTGATCTTGCACTGGGACGCTATGCAATGTGTTAATGATGTGAGTTTTTCTCTGTGTGTGTCCTCAATATTACATTTACATTGTGCTCTAGATGAGAAAAAATAAGGGGAAAGGGTTGCAATAAGTCAAGCATTTGGTTTAAATAGCTGTCTCTGCTAGTCATAGTGAAATGTGCAATTACATATTTTAACCTATTAAGTGAATATATAAGTGTGCTCAGAGTGTGGTATGGAGATAAAGTGGAGACAGAAGCGTAATGAAAGTACAACTTAGAGGAGATTTTGCGGTTTCACTCGCTCTTTGTTATTTATGCAGAAGTACAGTTTATAGTGTAATAGGTGTGAAGGAAAGTGCCAGTGTTTTCATTTAGGGATAATGTGATGTTTTTGTTGGTTTTTGTACTTAAATGTGTAACAATATGCAATCCAAAAGTGCCCAGTTCCATAAAACTGAGCATCCTCGTCAGTGAAACCGTAGTAGGTTGTACACAGATGCAGTAGATCTGTCAAGAGGATTTTAGTGTTAAGGTGATGTTTATTGTTGTGTGTTCAAGTGATCTTGATAGATTCTGGACTCCAGGTCCAAGACCTGGTTTAGACTGCCACCTTGTGGATGAACTAACTTGACACCAGAGGACCTGAGGTACACAAAAAAACTAGTGAACATTTAATGAGCAGTCTATCTTCTGCCTGTGGATCTTTCTAACCCACACATTATAGTTCTGATTGATTAATGATGAACATCTTTGAATCAGATTTATATGACGTTTAGATGTTTAGACATTAAACAGTGGTGGTTTATGTGTGATGTGAGGAAAAAAATGCACTTTATGTTGTGTCAAACTTTTTATTTTTTCTTATATTTTTTTCTATTTGTTGTATTTAGTAACTTTGTATTTATTTCAAATTCTGATTTACTACTAATATTAGTTCATGTTCTGACGCTGATTACGTTTAGAATGAGAAATTTACCAAATCTATGTGGCTAGCCCATCCTGTGCAGTTTTGACTAGTCTTTCTGTTAAGTCGGAAGCTGTGATGTTGCTGTCACATCTATTTTTGTCCAAGTGTTAGGCGTGTTTACGAGAACTTTGCTTTCTCAGACTATTGTTGTCCATTACATTGTTACATACCTAATAGCCACTGTCGTAAAAAAACAATGCAAAAACAAACAAACTAAAAAAAATAAAAAATAAAATAAAAAAAGCCTATAGTGCAGAATAAAATGCAAAAAATACTTCCTTTGTCTCACTTTTTGAGTCTAACATGAACGTCCGCCCTGAGAGTCGGGTCTCACTGTTATTGGTCCTCCGTTGGCCAATCACAGGAGTGACAACACGTGACCTGTATAAACAGGAAGTGAGCGCAACTTCACTTGACTGCTGCTGTTCGAAGACCGAGCAAAACTGAGCCCAACAAAACGAAAACAGACCGGCACACTTCATTCACATTTGTTCACGGACTCATTCTTATCACCGGAGGTAGAATGACACTACCGAAATGATGGTAAAATGTATTTTTTTATATGTTAATTCGCTTAATTTTGTTTGACAGAGGTGTCACTGGTGTATTCACACAGCGCTGTAGTTTACTGTAAACTAGTTTGATTCCGTGCCACTCGGCTATGGAAGGTAACGTTACAATTTAAGTATTCGAACTTAAAGACTTAATGCTTCTTTAAAATTAAAAAACAAAACACGTGAGCACATCATAATAAGCTGTTCAGTATTAAACCAGTTTCCCAAGCTTTACCGGACTTCTGAAATATTTCAATTGTGAGACGTTTGAACTGAACGACCGAAGAGAGAGACTACTAACTAAAACTCGTAGATCATGGTTAAACTTTTACATCATGCGGGCCAAATACAGCTCACTTTGACCTTAAGTGGGCCAGACCAGTGAAACTTCCCTTTCTCTGAGTGCAAAGACATTTAACTAGACATTTAATCCCCGAGATGCCCATGATTTAAGAAAAAAAAGGTGCAATTTAACAGGATGTATGTCTCAGTTGTTTTGTTCATTTACAGAAAATACAAAACACAAAAAAACAAGACATCTATAGTAGATACTGAAAAACGGTATATTTTCTCTTATTTAATTGTTTGCTTAACTACTTTGGTATAGCATGAAAGGCATTGTGGGGGAGCGGGGTGTCTTTTGTCAGTAATATCAAACGTAAAACTCATGAAAATACAATTAAAAGTCCAAAATCCATGCACTTTTTCACATTGTTCAAAGGTGTCCAGTTACCTGGACTGGAGCCTCTTGTGGGTTGATTCTGGTCCCTGGGCCTTATGTTTGATGTCCCTTTTTTTTAAATGGTTCCGTTTGAAACTAACTGTGAAATACACACATTCAACTGAAATATAGAAGGTTAAGAGGTCAAAATAATTACCCTTTTTTCAGTTGAGCATTGTGTTGTTTCCTTTCCTACATCATTTTTATCTCAAGTTTTATCTTGTTCCCCATCTGAGGAGGCCCTTAGCCTGAACTGGAGAGGCACAAAACTAAGCTACTGATCTGTTTATGAAGTTCTGCTAACAGCAGCAACTCAGTCTCATCAACTCATTGATTAACAAATTAACATTAGTATTAACAAACTCATACAGCCAGTTCCACGGACATAGATTAAGCCTACTCCCAGAGTAAAAGAAAAATCAAGGATGATCTCCACTGAGGGGGGAAAAATAAGCTTTTAGTGTAAGGCTAGGCTGGAAAACTGACCCATGATTCAGAACATGAAAATATATCAGTCACTGTGTCAATTTGTGAACAGTACAAGCACATTTGTTTCTGATAATTTACTTCATTTTGCTTGTTGTGCAGATTTTTACACTGTTGTCTTGGGACTTTTACACTGTTTACTCATCTAGCCGCACAAATTGCATGAACATGTAAATGCAGCACTTTGCCAAAAATCCGTTTTCTAAAATTTCAGAGTTAGTGGCCAAATGTTAGTTAAAATAAGAAACCAGCAAGTCTCCTGCTGCAGTTAAATAGGCATATCTGAAATTCCTTGAGTCACAGGGTGCCGTCACGTGCTTCGTGCTTTCTTTTTCCTTACTGACATGGATCATTAATGGCTTTGCTGAGTGTAACATTAGCTTCTGAGATCTGCTAGTAGAGTTTGTGTGTCGCAAGAATGCATCCTATAATTATTGCACATGGGTGCATCATCCATGGCTGATTGCGTCATATGTATGTAACTGGGCTATTATTTTTTTTTTTCTTTGTGTGTAGGCTGCTGTGATGACAATGAGCAATTCTTCTTGCTCCATCGTGGTCATCTCTACATGTTATGAAGCCTAGCACCACCTCTGCTCAGTTTGTGGGTCAGTCTACTGCTGATGACCTCATGGATGATTGGGTCTTTTTCTCTACTGAATCAGCTGTTTCCCAGGGCCTAGAAGACAGCAGGGATGACCAGGAGGCAGAGGACAAAGGCAGATTCAAAGACAAGTTGGTCTCAGCATGGAACAGCGTCAAATATGGTCAGTTCTTTTTCTGTCAGAGACTGAAAATAAGTGATGTGGTGAGCAGACCTGCTTGTCCTCTTTATTTTTTGAAAGTAAACAGTTACCGTTTTTCCCTTTCAGGCTGGACCTTGAAGCAAAAATCTAAATTTAGCAAGCGCTCTCCTGTGTTCATGCTGGGGAAATCCTATGAGCTCAAAGATGAAGGTGAGGCATTTTGTAGGAGTAGAGCATTTGTCCCGCGTAAACCCTGAAACGATCTGTCATGTGACTGTAAAAGCAAAGGAGAAAATTGTAATTGCGCCTCTGTAATTGTTGCAGTAGATCAACAGCATTTCCGTTGGTGCTTTGCATCGCTCCTGTGGTTTACATACAGACGAGGTTTCCGTCCGCTCCCCGGCTCCTCTCTGACCACCGACAGCGGTTGGGGTTGTGTTCTACGCTCCAGCCAGATGCTGCTGGCACAGGGCCTGCTACTGCATCTGATGTCACCAGGTGATTACACACTGTCCTGCTACAGTATCACATAGTCTGATCAACAAGTGAAAAGACATCCAGAGATTATTTTCATTTTCATTCAAACAGACTGGCTTTACTTGCAGTCAATATTTCTCTGAAATCTAAAGTCAGGTACACTAAACAGTGGGTTCCTCCTTTTTAGGCCTTTTATTGCTGTTTTCAGTTGTTCCTCAATCTGGGGTCTTTGTGCCTTCACTTCTGTCTTTGGCAGGTAAAATTCAGCTCGATTGTTTTGAGTTGCTCAGATGATCGACTCAGCCATTGTTGAGTATTTTATGTCTTTGCCTTTAAACGTTTCTAAAGTATTTTTAACAGTGTGTTTTAGGTCATTGTCCATCTGTGCTATTTAGAAACACTGTCCAGTCAGCTTTGCTGCAGTTGGCTGAATCTGGGAAGAAAGTTTAGCTCTATGCACTTCAGATTTCATCCAGATGCATCTGTCTTCCGTGATCACCCATAAACACTAGTGATCCAGCATCAGTGGAAGCCAAGCATGCAAAACATCATGCTGACTGCTCTGTGGTTTACAAAAGGATGTTGTGTGATTCGGATTACGAGTCTAATTTTAGTCTCATTTCTCCAAAACATGAAGAATCAGTTCATTCATGGCTGCCTCCTGCAGAAAGTTCTTTACTTGGCTGTGTGGCCTAAAGAAGTTTTGCTTTGTCCTGAAATGATGCTCCATCATTTTTGCTTCTTTTTTAATTCTAGGAAAGTTGTACTTATGTATTTCGTCACGATGTAAATGTTGATTTGATTCATACTATTTGTGCGGTCTTTCTGGTTCATTTGTTTTTGGATGGACTGTTTGCTTAACTTGCACTGGAATCTCCTTTGACTGTTTAGTATGTTGGGGTTCACAGTTTTAGCAGCTTTCATGCCATGATGGGAATCACCTGCTGACATTAATCTACTAAACTGGTAAAGCACCATGACGCAGCCTTAGATTTAATTGTCCAGTTACATTTGAGCACCTGCAAATGGGAAACGGTGCATAAAAGTGACGGCAATTCCTCTGAAATAAATGCTATACGCTTATTTCACAGTTTAACTCTGTTCTACTATAGTGAGCTATAGGAAATTAAACAAAGTTGTCTGTGTACACAACGAGCTATTTTTCATTTGCCCCATCTTTAGAAGTTGTTACAGAATTTTAAATCGCATCAAATTAAACACAACAAATAATGAACATACAGTAGGTAGAATGGTATATAGCTCAATAACATTTTACAGTATGGCAAAACAAATATCTTAAGAAAAAACTCATCTGAAAAAAAATCATTTTGCCACAGATGAGAACAGTGGAAAACTGCATTTTACTTCTCAGTGAAACAAATATACAAACTCTTCAATAACGACTGTCTTTTTTTAAGGTTGCACCTGGTCTGGGAACCAACGTGTTGTCAAAGATGACATGGACCTGATGCACTCTGTGAACGATGGATTTAGTTCGAGTGAAAGGGAAAGCAAGAGAAGTCGACATTTGAGCTGGGGGTCCATCCTGGATAGACCCGTGGAGAGTACACACAGAAGGATTTTACGCTGGTTTGCAGACAACCCCACAGCTCCCTTTGGCATACATCGGCTTGTAGAACTGGGCAAAAGCTCAGGGAAGAAGGCTGGGGACTGGTATGGTCCATCCATTGCGGCACATATCCTCCGGTGAGACTTAAATTGATGATGCAAGAGAGCAGCCGAACTAAAAAGTTTATCGTCTCTAACAGTGAAGGTCATTCTGTTTCAGGAAAGCTGTGGAAGCTGCAGTAGTGGACCTTCCCAATCTAGTTGTGTATGTAGCACAAGATTGCACCAGTGAGTGTTATCTTTATAGTGTTTGCAACACAACATATTTTATTTTTTAAGAAGAGGAGATTGTGGATAAACTCTTTTAAAAAAAGTTGATTCTTTTTTCTTTTCTTTTTTTTAAAGAAAATGTGGGTTTTTGTTGTTTGTTTTTTAAGAGCTTAAATTGGTGTTGAAAAGATTCAATGAGTCAAATGGACTTTAGATGTCTCTTTCCTTCTTTGTTCAGTCTACCTGCAGGATGTGAGGAAGTTGTGCGAACGGCCTCTCCCTCAGCACTGGAAATCTGTCCTCATCCTGGTTCCTGTGCGTCTTGGCGGGCAAGATCTCAATCCGTCCTACATCACCAGTGTCAAAGTACAGAACCAGTATTTTTACGTAATGTAATCTGGGTGCCTTACTGAACTTAGAGATATGTCTCTAAGGCTTTTGTTTGTGAATATTTTCAGGGAGGGGGGGTTTGTTTTTGTTTTTTTTGTTTAAGGAAAACTGGATCTCTGAATGGGAAAAATTCAGCCGTTCCTTTTGTCTTTCAACAGAAACTCTTGATGTTGGAGTGCTGCATCGGGATCATTGGCGGCAAACCAAAGCACTCTTTGTTCTTTGTTGGCTTCCAGGGTAAGCCGAGTAAATTGTGTGTTATGATTGTGTTGAGCCATTTCATGTCCGTCCTTACATTTTCTTTCTTCCTCTGGCACGTTTGTACATAAGATGACCATCTGCTGTACTTGGACCCTCACTACTGTCAGCCCACAGTGGATGTAACAAATAACTTTCCCTTGGAGGTATGAGCAACCATTTCTCTTCTTCTTTCTGGCTTTCTGTTTTGTTTCCTCTTGTGATCACTTTTAAGTAAGGTGAGACATGCCACCACAGCTCCACAGTACCTCTTTTCCACTGACTCAGGCCTCTGCTTGTGCCAAAGTCAAATGGATTCGAAACATTTCTGTTGAAAAATAAATAAAAGTTGTGTTTCAGATTACTTTGCTATGTATTGTTTGCCTGTGGAACTTTTCAAAATCTAGGCTGGTTTTTAAAAGGGTAACAAGTAGAACTGGCTCAGCAACTTTGCAGAACACCAGGTGTAAGATGAACCCTCAAATTACTCCTTCATCAGTATCACTGCGTTTTCCTTATAGGTCATTTGAATTAATTTTAACCCGGAACACTGTATGAAATATTTTTAAAATTTATATGTCTTTGAATAAAAACCATTCAATTATGACTTTTTAGAGGTTTTTCCATAGTATAGTTGTTCATATGTTTACCTGGCAAGCAAAATATTGCACTTTTAATTCCAGTCAGAGACACAAATACCTTCAGGGATTTGTCAGGTAAAAACCCAACATGTGGCGCTACTTGCTGTAGCGACCCATTGTGACAAGGGCGAATTTAAAACTAGCACTTAGATGCTGAGCTTTTAGTGAGCAAGGACTAAAACTGAGTAAAAATAAAAGCACGAAGATGGACAACAGGGATGAGGTTGGGTTCAAGTCGGTGTTCGCAGACTGAAAGGCATGCCACCTTGGGGTTATAACGACGCAGTGATGTTAAATATTCTTTTTCTTTTAATTAATGCAATATACAAACACTTCAGGGCTCTTGAAGAGAAGAAGAGCCATACCCTGGTGTTGAGACAAGAAATGGACGACTAAATAAATGATAATAAAACAGAAGCACATGTGAGTCCTTCAAAGAAATCTCGAAAATATTTTGAGAACTTTCTTCCGTCCACTTGAACTTTGCGTGTTTTGATTTATGCAAAAAATATTGTGCTTGCATAAATCAGATTAATTACCAGTCCAGTTACCCCAGTTTTCACTCACATACTCATAGTGAGCAAACGTATTATTCCGAGTGAAGCCAGTTTTAAAAATCATTCCAAAATTCATATTCATGTTTTACATTGAAAGAAGAAAACATGTTCCACAATTTCTGTCTTCATAACACTGGATAAGACTGATATATCTATACCCTTTTTAAAAATTAAAAAAATGTAATTTTATTATATTTTTTTTGCATCACACTCGCTATATAGATCATATTTGCTTTTCAGTTTACCCGGGTTGTACTTTGTTGACAAAAAGTTTATTATTAACTTGTTAGAGTCGGATATCTTTCAGTCAGTGGCCTCGATTCTGACACAATCAGAATCGGTTGAATTCTTTTAACTTTCTTCCATATCTTGGGCCATGCTGGGTTGGCGCTTAACCGTTTCTCTTCTCCTTTTAGTTAACGTCTCTACTTACATCCTTGCTAGCATGTTTTCATGCACTCTCGGTATATGGACTGGATGCCCATTTTGTCTATGAAGTAATGACTTCTGTTAAAACCTGGCAGCTGCAGTAGCACCACATGGTGTACAAATATCCACGTGTTTGTTGAATCGTCAGTGTGAGACGTTTTGAGGTTTCTCCTCTGAGCCTAATGAGATTTTTGTGTGATCCCATTTCTGTCCCCACTGCTTGCAGTCGTTTCACTGTAAGAATCCCAGGAAAATGCCTTTCTCTCGCATGGACCCCAGCTGCACCATCGGATTTTATGCAAAAGGACAAATGGAGTTTGAGTCGTTGTGCGCAAGTGTTAATGAGGTATGTGCATGGATCATTTGGGCTTCTGTTCCAGGAGCCTTTTATTACATGAAATATAATTTGTGTTAGACCTGATCTAAATTTGTTTTGTCCTTTTTTTTACAAAACAAAAAAATGATCAAGTTAATTTGAAGGAATTATTCTACTCTCCACTGCTTATTGTTATTAGTTCTAGTTCACCTTCTGTCTCCCACAGGCTGTGTCAGCATCTGCAGAGACATATCCCATGTTTATATTTGAAGAAGGAAAAACACGGGAGGAAGCGAGAGCAAACACGCCCACGCACAGCGTCACCTTCCTACAGAGGAAGACCCAACTGGGAAGAGTCGATACAAACAACAGCATGGATGAGTTTGTTCTATTGTAAACATAAAAAGATCATCTCTGCCCTGATGGAGGTCCTTCACTGAATTTTCAACATAGCATTTTGCACCTTTTGGAAATTACTGAGCATAAGAACATTGTCCTCATCATTCACACACAGTGAGGTAGATGGACTCCTAAGTAGTTTCATGGGAAGTGTTTATGCATCAGTACTGAGAATTTTATATTTTATTGCAGTTTGTATTTATTTTTTTTATGTTTTAGAGGTAAATGCTTTAATAATTTCATCAACTCTCGTCATTCTAATTGACTTGAGATTGGCCAAATATCCATGAGGTCATGGCCCTGTGTGCTACACTTCAAGTCGACTGTGATTGATTTCGCACAAGTGAATAGATTAATTTTTTTCTTGAATGGGTTTTAAAAAGTTACTCTCACTGGAAAATGACGATTTACTGAAAATGTTACAGGTTGGCTGGTTTTTTGCTGTCTAAATAAACAGATTAGGAATGACAAAATTAATTTATGAAAAAGAAATAAGTATTCACTGTAGTGCACTCTTACTTTAACTACTGCATTTCCTGTTGGTACTGACCTTATGAAAACATCAGGCTTGATTGAGAAGAGGAGCGAGAACAAAAAAAAAAAGATTGCCATGAAAGAATAATTGTTTTCAGTCTCAGTGATGATTATATAGTTCAGTTCACAACGATGGTCAACTCATGGAGCTTTAAAATGTAATATATTACCCCACAATAAGAGAGACCTACAATGATATGACCATCCTTGATAAGCAACTGGTTAGTGATGGTACGGAGGTAAAACTCCCCTTTAACAGGAAGAAGCTTCCCACAGAACCAGGATCATCTTGGGGCAGCCATCTGAAACAACCATGTTTGGTCAGGGGGAAGAGAGTGTTTTGGTCAAAAGGAGGAAAAAATGTCTGCATGTCAGGATGTATCTGATTAATGCGTTTTTGTCCCCCTCATCTTTTCTAAGCAGCCATCGTGACAATGTTGACTCAGTCCCTTGCATGTAATGCAATACAAACGGTACTAAAGTTCAGGTAGTAATGGTTGCTCAGAATCCTTGCTGTTTTTCAGTTTGCTTCCCCTGTATGTGATAACCCAGGTCATCAGTCTTCCGGAGGGGGCCTCCAGTTCCCTCAGGTGGCACCTTTACTAGCCACAAATTTCCATTTCAGTCTGTCCTGGAAGGTCTCAGGAGAGCAGAGCATACCTGTGCTGCCTTCTCCAAGAACTTGGAGAAAAACCTAGCCAACACATTGATTCTGTCCTTCAGTAAAAAGGAGCATGTGTTGATGTGAACGTAGGCCATTTCTTGGTTCAGCTTCAACTGCACCCCAATGAGTGCATGAGGCTTAAAATAAAATAAAACACTTTTGTATTGATTATGTTATAGTTGAAATAATGGATATTTATGGATTCTGATGCAGTCTTCTCTTACTTTACAGTGACTGCATGGATGTTTGACAAAAAGACAAGTTATATTTGGGTATAGTTTGTACAGCTGCAAAGAGTGAAACTACACCAAAGTGGGGGAGTTAAAACAGAGCGGTAACCTCAAGATCCCTGTAAAACCTACCACGTGGTTAGCTCTAGTCTTTTTGGCCAACCAGTGAGACTCATCCCTCAGAAGTCCAACCTGACTCTTACTTTGGGTGTTTCCCTTTTACTACCATACCGAGCACCTTAGCATGGGATTGTGTCCAATCCAGCTTAAGGACACAGTCATGACCTCATGTTCCTTAAGTTCCTCAGTCACATGTCAGCTAGGTTCCACCATGTGACAGTAAATATTCTTCTTGATTATGCTAAAAAGATTGATGAGCAGTTGAAATATTTTTAAGCTCATAAGTATGATTTAGAATAATGACAACAAATAATATTAAGGTAAATTAAAAGTAGATGGTCCCTACATAAAGCAGAAGAGCATGATCGTGCTTTATCTAAATAATGTATGGTATATTCAAATTATTTAGAGTACAACTATTTTATTCATCTTAATATATAGTTTGACCCAATACAATTGTCTTTACAGCATTTTAGAGGTTCACATGCCTTTGTTTTCTTTGTTTCATATTATAGTAGGGTTACAGTGTGTCTTTACGTGTATCTTTTTTAAGTATTTCCTTTCGTAGCGTAAACGGCAAACCAATCATTAATAATGTGTCTTAAATGCTGATCAACAACAAGCATTGGCCAAAAGGTTAGAAATATATATTATTATTAAATACAAACAAAGCAATAATGACATGAAAGAAAAGTGCACTCGACACCGTTTTCGTGCCACATTTTATTTAATTGTGGTTTCTCAAGCGTACTAAGAGCATTTGCGTACTTTCACGTTGATACGTGTTGGGTTAAATCATATTTCAATATACTCGTCCATAATACAGTGTTTGCCTCGTTCACCCATCCCCCATGCCGGCTTCTAGGGCTTTCGTGCCTGCTTGTATCTCAGAGGCTGCACTGAGCATGCGGGAAGTGAGCGAGGAGCCTGCGCAGAGGCGGCGCTGTAGAGCCGCACAGGCCGGTCTCCGCGATACAATCTGCTGAGAGGGGGGGGTGAAGGAAAAAAACCAACTGGGTAGGTCGCTCTTTGTTTCTGGTTAGGAGGAAAACGAAGAGACTTTGCAGCCGGCGACACTTCAAACATCAACTTCCACCACTTGTGTAAGTTCGCTTTAATTTTTCTTTGGGCAGTAAGGGAGTTTTGTGTGCGTTTCACGCTGCTGTTAGAGGATTGTTGAGCTTTCGTGGGGTTTTTTTTCCCTCTTCGTTACAGAAAAGGAGACCGACATTACCGTGCCGCTGCTGTGGCGCGACAGTGTGTAATGAATGAAAATTGTTTTTGGAAATGTGCTAAGAGCAGAGCGCTGAGCCAGGGGTACGGGAGGCGCGTTGGATCAATCAGCTTGGTAGATGAAGGGATGCTCTAACCTTTCACATGTCGCCGCATCTCGGCCACTATCTCGCAAAACAACACGTCTTTTTTGCCCTAATTGGCCTCGGAGAGCATGGCCGGCTAGGCTAACTGAACTAGCTCGCTAACGAGCCAGCCGACAAGTCTTAAATCCGGGTTGTGTTCCTTGTAGAAATACTATTGTTTTAGTGTTATTTTCAGACGGAACCAGCAACCCGGTGAATACCACTACAATTGTGTTGCATTACGAATTGGAGAGAGTTAAAGTTAACCTATATAATGTAACGTAAACTTTAAATTCTGCTAGGCCTGGCTAACGTTAGCCAACAATAGCTAGCCTAACTGTTATTGGCTTATAAATGTAAACATTAGACAACTGGACTTTGGCAAAGTTTTTATTATTATGCTGTTCTCCCGTTGATTTAAGAGAGGCTCTGTTTTTTGTTTTTTTGTTTTAACCAAAGGGTTTAATTTGTGTCATAATAGGGCCTCTTCTAGAGGTGTCTCGTAACAGTTTTCTTCCACGAAGTGATGTTCAAGTTAACTAATTGTGCTTTAAAAAAAAAAAAAAAATCCAGACAAAGTTAAATCCCTTGTGTGACACACTTGACCTTTAAAAGTCAGATATTCAGCAAAAAGTATATGAATTATCTAGTTCCTGTCAGCAGCTGCCCATCTGTACACTTCAGCAGAACATCCAGGAGTGGACATTTAAATGCTATAACGGCATAAAAACATCAGTCAGCTGTCTGTAGTTCATGTTTAATGGTACTAAGCACTACGACTTGTGTATTACACCAAGTGGCACATTTGGGGGGGGGGGGGGGGAACAGTGACGGTATCACTTTTATTTTAAGTCATTTCACATCTGCAATGAAGCATCCAATATTGAACGGCTTTATAAATATACTATTGTCTTAACACAGAGCAACGTGAAACATGTGAGACTGTGATCAGATGTAAAGATGTAACAATTCAGATAACCAGTTATTCATTTAAGTCAGCAGGCACAATGAAATAATGTGCTCATTTATTCTTGTCTCACCAGTGCTGGTTTAAAATATTCAGTTTGGATTATTGGTCAGATGAAATAAGCATTTGTAAAACATTTTGACATTTGATTTCAGGCCATAACAGGGGAAATTTTTAACTTTTAAAAATGTTTTAGAGTTTCTTCATCTTCTTCCTTTTTTCTTTTTTTCAAAAAAGCACTGAAAGATTTCCATTTAAATTTTTCTATTATTTCATTTAATTTTAAACACAGAAAGTTTGTTGTATTTTTTACTAGAATTTATTTGAAATACCTTTCCTTTTAAGTAACTAGAGTAACATGCATACATGTGTTTTCTTAATTCTTGTTGTAATGTCTCTTTTAAGGGTACTTCCTGCAGCCACACATTCCCAGTTCCCCCTTAGAGATGTCCACTCCTGACCCCCCTATGGGAGGGACACCTCGCCCTGGTCCCTCCCCAGGCCCAGGGCCATCTCCAGGAGGCATGATGGGGCCAAGTCCAGGTCCCTCACCAGGCTCAGCCCACAGCATGATGGGGCCTAGCCCAGGACCTCCAGGATCTGGACACCCCCATCCTCCACAGGGACCCTCAGGATATCCTCAGGATAACATGCACCAGATGCATAAAGTAAAACAAAAAACGACATTTTGTCAAATAATGCAATCTTCTTGTTGTTAAAACATGCATGTGATTATTTTGAATAGCTTAAACACAGTAATATTTATCATTAGATAAAGTGAGTGGTTGTGGAATCATTTCTGTACTTTACATACTTTACGTGTCTTTCCTGTTAATTGTTTTGTGCAGTGTGTTCCAGTGTCACACTGCACAAACTTCAGTGTTTGTTTCATTTATGATTATTCGGTTTCATTTATGCAGCCAATGGAAGCCATGCATGAGAAGGGAGTGCCCGATGACCCTCGCTATGGCCAGATGAAGGGCATGGGCATGAGACCAGGGGGACACAGTGGGATGGGACCCCCTCCGAGCCCGATGGATCAACATTCCCAAGGTATGTTGTGTCACACAGAAAAGTACTTCATGGTAATGTGTGTCAGGACTAGAGAAAGGTGAAACCTAAACTAACACCATAGTGTCATGTTGATACGTTTGTGGTAAAGTCTGCATCTTCAGTCCTCTTCTAACTTGAGTTAATGCACACTGAGTGAAGAAAATTTGAACTCACGGAACTTAGTTCTGGCCCTGAAATGCTCTTTGCAAAAGAAACCAGTAATGCAGTTGTGCTGGTATACAATGTGCGTGTGGAAACCCATCCAGCCGGTTTCTCCTCTTGTGTTGCTGTTCATGTAGCAGCAGTAGCAGACAGCGCTGGGCAGGGTGACAGGAGGGGCGGGGTTTAGGGGCTTCCCCTTTCAGACAACAACAAAAGCAGCTGCATCTACAAAACCAGTCAGCAAGCAACAGAGGTTGTTCAGAGGGAGGAATATAGAAGACACCACAGCAGTGTTCGAGTTTCTCTATAGTACATGGAGATACAGCCACCTGGTTCTCTTATTATCCTTATTCAACATATTTTTCTTGTTTGTTTGTTTGTTTGTTTTTAATTACAAAAAACCTTCTTTAACACTTCAGAGATAACTTTTTGCCATACCCATTGTGCCTCTGTTCTGTTTGCAGGTTACCCCTCTCCATTAGGAGGCTCGGAGCACGCACCTAGTCCCGTCCCAGCCAACGGCCCTCCTTCTGGTCCCATGATGCCTGGAGGCCCATCTGGCCCGGGAGCAGGCCCTATGGAGGGAAGTGGAGACTCAAATCAGGGTATGGGTCAACCGAATCGTGGTGGTCCCCAAGGGCCAGGGGGCCCCCCTGTTGCAGCAGGTGGTGCAGGTGGACCCACTCCCTTCAACCAGAACCAGCTACACCAACTCAGGGCACAGATTATGGCCTACAAGATGCTGGCACGCAGTCAGCCTCTACCAGAGCACCTGCAGATGGCTGTGCAGGGAAAGAGGCCCATGCCAGGGATGCAGCAACAGCCAATGCCTAATATGCCACCTTCTACAGGGCCCGGAGGTGGCCCGGGTGCTGGGCCGGGACCAGCTCCAGCAAATTACAATAGACAACATGGTGAGTTAGAGGGGTTTTTTTTACGTTAATTTATTGTACACAAGTTAAGGGAAGTTAAAGGAAAATCTGAACCTTTGATCATGATCAAGGTTATTATAGTTAACTAAAACTAAACTATCCAATCCAAATTATTTATAAAGCACTTTTTAAAGACAAAGCAGCAAAAAATTACACACAAATCAGCAGCAACAACAATAGTAGTAGTAATAATAATAAATAGAAGGTTAGAACATGCCACTCTCGTTCTATGATAAGAGCCAAATAATAAAGATGAGTTGTAAGTAGGGCTGCCACAAACGATTATTTTGATAGTCGACTAGTCACCGATTATTTTTGGAAACTGAGCTGGGCTGCGCTATGAATTCTGGGACAGAGCTACTTCTTCTTCTTCGGGGTTTAACGGCAGCTGGCATCCTTGTACATGCAGTGCTGCCATCTTCTGTTTCAGTCTGTTATTACACTCTTAAATCCTACTACTTATTCCTGCGTCTTTTGTGATCTTACAAAGCTTCAAATGACGCGTCGACTATTAAATCAGTCGTCAACGATTTTGATAGTCGATGTAATCATGACTAGTCGACTAGTCGTGGCAGCCCTAGTTGTAAGATGTGTTTTAAAAACAGGTAATGAAGGAGCCATGCTAACATGGGCCGGGAGTTGGGGCGTAAAAGGCTCGGTCGCCCCTGGTTTTCAGCCGGGTTTTAGGGACAGCCAGGGGAAACTGGTCCATGGACCTTAGCAAACTTGAGGGAATATATGGAGTTAGAAGCCAAGTATTGTATGTCAAAATATAGAATAAAATCTTTAAATGGATCCTAAACTGAACATTGAGCCATCCCTTGATATCTTTCAGACTCTCCAGTTGTGGTTTAGGAGAGCTGACATTTCTTTTTATAGGCATGTAAAATTGGGTGTCATCTGCATAAAAACAGTAGCCAAGGCCATGTTTTTTTTTTTTGTTTTTTTTTAAATCAGGCTCATGGGAAGAAGGTAGAGAGAAAAAATGACTGGCCAAGGTTATGTGTTTGGTAGATGAAGGGCCTGAACCTACCTGAACCACTCTACAGCTCTACCTTTGATTCCCACATGGTGTTCTCTTGCTTGTTTTTTTTAAATTACATAACCATATCATTCTTAGTTTTTAAGTGCATCAAAAGCAGCAGCAGTAAAAGATCATTAAGAAATCTTCAAAGTGCAGATTCGGTGCTGTGAACAGTTTTAAAATGAGACCAGGAAGTTTCCAGAATCCTCTGAGAGTCTATGAAAAACTGCAACTGTAAAAATACAGTTTTTGCTAAAACGTTTAGCCGTAAAAGGCAATTTTGAAATCAGTCTAAAGTTAGAGAGAGGCATCCATGTTTGCTTTTTTTAATCAATGGATGAACCACAGATGTCTAAAACAAGTGGGTACAACACCAGAAGTGAGTCTGCTGTTAATGATAGATTGGACATTTGGACCAATAGTCTCCCAGAGCACATTAGTGGGGCAAGATGCTGGTTTGATCTGAGTGACAATTTTCTTCAACTGGGGAAGAGACACAGGTTCAAACTGGTAAAAAGCAGTGTAATTTAAGTCATCTAGGTAGCTCTGTTTTGGAAGTTCAGTTAACGCTAGAACTGTGCTTTGGAGTTTGTACATGTTTCGTCTCTAGGGGCCACCATAAATATTTATATATAAACATACATAAAGAAAACCACGTTTTTTTTACATTACTAATTCCTTTTGTGCATAATTTTATATTGTTGTTGATAATTAATTAATTAAAGCAAAAAAACCAACCTGAACAGCCGGTTGGGAGCCGAAAGAGCCAGCTCTTTTTAGTGAGCCGAGCCGAAAGAGCCGGTTCTCTAAAAAGAGCCAGAAATCCCATCACTACTGTGAATCAACTGCTTTCAAAAAGCTCTGGTTATATTTTACTATCTGTACTAATTTTCCCAAATCTTGCTCCTGACATATGCCATAAATAATTATCAAACATTAAAATTAGCACTGAAAGTAAATAAAAACTAAATATTTTCAAACAATAAAAACTAAACTGAAATGAGCAAATTCGCTCTAGAAACTAACTGAAACTAAACTGGATTAAAAACAAAGTTGAAACGAAGTAAAAATCAAACCTAATAATAACTAATAAAAAAAAAAATACAAAACTATAATAACCCTGCTCTTGATCCCATGATAATAATAATGCATCTATCTAAATGGCAGGAGAGATTGCACAATGTTCAGCATTTACAAATTATGTCAAAAAACAGATTAATATTATTCTGTTTTTGTTTTAGGTATGGTAGGTCCCAATATAGCTCCTCCTGGACCTGCAGGAGTTCCTCCAGGTATGCAAGGCCAGCCTACGAATGGACCTCCCAAATCATGGCCTGAAGGTAAACCCAGGTTAAGCACCAACTTCACACATGTGTATTTTGTTCATACCTACAATTAAAAATAATCTTTCCTAAATTTCTCTTTTTTTAGGACCAATGGTGAACGCTGCTGCCCCTTCCAACCCTCCCCAGAAGTTAATTCCACCCCAGCCCACAGGCCGACCTTCTCCTGCTCCTCCCTCAGTGCCTCCAGCAGCCTCCCCTGTTATGCCCCCTCAGACACAGTCGCCAGGACAGCCTGCACAGCCCCCTCCCATGATGCTACACCAGAAGCAGAATCGCATAACCCCCATCCAAAAACCTCGTGGGCTTGATCCAGTGGAGATCCTCCAGGAGAGAGAGTACAGGTGAGGAAAGGGAAACGACGTGGAATGGCAAACTGAGCTACACAGCAAATATTTTGTCCTTGAACACGAATGATGAAAATTGTCAGGAGCCCATTTCTTGCTCCCTCTAATATGACAATTTATGTTTGGTGAGTGTGAAGGAAAAAGAATATCGGCCTAGATATCGAAATATCACTAAATATTGGCGTCGGCCTTAAAAAGTCCTGTACTGCTCGGGGTGTAGTGGACAGCATAAAAGTATTGGCATTATAGTAAGATTAAAAAAATCTGAGAAACTAGATGTTTCCAGTTTGAATAGGAAATTAAATCCCTGAACTGATGACACACAGCCATCCATCACTTTGAGGGTTCTTCTACTTTTGTATGGAGGGAGAAAAATAATGGTTTCAACTTTAATCTTTGTAATATTTCTATTTTTAAAATTTTCAGGCTTCAGGCTCGTATTTCTCACCGTATACAGGAGCTTGAGAACCTGCCTGGCTCTCTAGCTGGTGATCTACGCACCAAAGCCACCATCGAGCTTAAGGCCCTTAGGCTGCTTAACTTCCAGAGACAGGTAGATAAACGTATCTGCTGCTACCTGCAAATGTGTTTATAATCCAGACAACTGAACTCTGCATATTTAATCAGCTTTCTCTTCTCTTCTTTACTTTTCCCAGTGAAAAACTTATATTGTCTTCCTTTTCTGTGCTTGTAGTTGCGCCAGGAGGTTGTTGTTTGCATGCGTCGTGACACTGCTTTGGAAACTGCCCTTAATGCTAAGGCCTATAAACGCAGCAAACGGCAGTCTCTACGTGAGGCTCGTATCACTGAGAAGCTGGAGAAACAGCAGAAGATTGAACAAGAGCGCAAACGGCGCCAGAAACACCAGGTACAGACGATTTCTAAAAGATCTTAAGGCGTCTAATTGGATGTTTTATATTGTGATATTTGTTAAAACAAATATGATGAGGTGTAGTTAATGTAAAGAGTCTAATTTAATCATTTGTTTTTCAAAGGAATACCTCAACAGCATCCTGCAGCATGCCAAGGACTTTAAGGAGTATCACCGCTCCATCACAGCAAAGATCCAGAAGGCCACCAAAGCTGTCGCCACCTATCATGCCAACACTGAGCGCGAGCAGAAGAAAGAGAATGAACGCATTGAAAAAGAGAGGATGCGAAGGCTGATGGTGAGACTTTCTCAGTCTGTCAAAATGAGTCTGTATCTGCCAGAAGGAGCACAGTCTCTGAAATGAATGATAGGAATTATATTTGAAGTTTATTTGTGTCACAAACTGATCTGACCTCTGTGCGAATCTCCTCCCAGGCTGAAGATGAAGAAGGTTATCGTAAACTTATCGACCAGAAGAAAGACAAGCGCCTGGCGTACCTGCTACAGCAGACAGACGAGTACGTGGCCAACCTCACTGAGTTGGTGCGCGCGCACAAGGCTGCACAAGCACTCAAAGAGAAGAAAAAGAAGAAGAAGAAGAAAAAGAAGGTACATGAATTAAATATAGAAGAGTGATGTAAAATTTCATCCACGTAAAGAGAAAAAAAAAACTAAAATTATTTGATGCTTTCAGAAGCCCGAGGCTCCAGAGGGAGCTGCTCCTGCTCTGGGACCTGACGGAGAGGTGAGTGTCAAACAGTAAAATTACTTTAAGGGAACTCTACCATAGAGATCACGCCCATTTTTAATGTGTATCTTTTGTTGTTTTGGTTTCCCTCCTTTCCTCTCCCAGCCTTTAGATGAGACTAGTCAAATGAGTGACCTGCCAGTCAAGGTCATCCATGTAGACAGTGGAAAGATCCTGACGGGTGTGGAAGCACCCAAGGCCGGGCAGCTGGAAGCCTGGCTTGAAATGAACCCAGGGTAAGCGTCAAGTCTGTCTTGATTTCTGTAGAAATGATTTAAATTCAGTGTCTGGAATATCTGTGCAAAAGCCGTGTTTCATCCTCCAGCAAAACAACAAGGCACTCGCTTATCTCTTTTTCTATCCTTATGTTCCTTTTCAGATACGAAGTAGCGCCACGCTCCGACAGTGAAGGCAGCGGTTCAGAAGAGGAAGATGAGGAGGAGGTATGTAATGCAGCTTCAGATTGTGTTTGTGGTGGTGGAGCAGCTTTCTGACATCCCGTTTTGTTTTGTATCGTCAGGAGGAAGAGGACGACCAGCCTCAGACGTCTTCAGCTCCAACAGAAGAGAAGAAGAAGATCCCCGACCCCGACAGTGAAGATGTATCAGAAGTGGATGTCCTGCACATCATTGAGTAAGACAGTTGTTGTACTTTATAATTATCCTCTGTTTATAACTGGTTGGGTAATTATAATATTATGAAATTTACATGAATCATGTCTTTTCTGCTTCCATCAGACACGCCAAGCAGGATGTAGACGACGAGTACGGCAGTGCAAGTTTCAACCGCGGCCTGCAGTCCTACTATGCAGTGGCTCACGCTGTCACTGAGAAAGTGGATAAACAGTCCTCACTGCTGGTCAATGGGCAGCTCAAGCAATACCAGGTAGCCCATCAGGACACAGAAAAGAGCAGCATAACATTAGCATTGTTGGATTAGATTTTAATGGTGGATTATATAAATAAATGTTGGATAATCTGAGTAAACTGAATCTTATTTGAACCATTTACTGTTCAGATCAAAGGTCTGGAGTGGCTGGTGTCACTTTACAACAACAACTTGAATGGCATCCTGGCTGATGAGATGGGTCTAGGCAAAACGATCCAGACTATCGCCCTCATCACTTACCTCATGGAGTACAAGCGCATCAATGGGCCCTTCCTCATCATCGTACCTCTCTCGTAAGTGTGAACGTGTCTCCTCGGTTCCCTGTTGAAAGCATCGGCTTAAAAATGACAAATGCACGTAGAAAAGGCTGCTTTTCCTCAATCAGAGCTGTTCTTTTGTTTACAGAACTTTATCAAACTGGGTGTATGAGTTTGATAAGTGGGCACCGTCTGTTGTGAAGGTTTCCTACAAGGTCAGTGATGTTGCATTAGTACTTCAGTCACGCTTTGCTCGCAACATGACGAAAACACTTTATACCAAAGACCATTTTTAATTCAGTTATTCGGTTTACTTAATATCTGTTTATCTTTCAGGGGTCTCCAGCTGCTCGACGTTCATTCGTTCCAATTTTACGTAGCGGAAAGTTCAACGTGCTGCTGACCACATATGAGTACATTATTAAGGATAAGCAGGTGTTAGCAAAGGTAAGACAGTCCTGTCACGTCTTCTTCCAGATCTAAAGCTTGCCTTTTAAATGGTAGTCAAAAGCACGCTGAATAAATGCCATATCTTCTTCACAAAGATCCGCTGGAAGTACATGATTGTGGATGAAGGCCATCGTATGAAGAACCATCACTGTAAGCTGACCCAAGTCTTGAACACACACTACTTGGCGCCACGACGTTTGCTGCTCACAGGAACTCCGCTGCAGAACAAGCTCCCCGAGCTCTGGGCCCTGCTCAATTTCCTCTTGCCCACGATCTTCAAGAGCTGCAGCACCTTCGAACAGTGGTTCAACGCCCCGTTCGCCATGACTGGAGAGAAGGTGCGTTTACAGTCTGGTCGGGATTGTTGAAAATAGTTGTGGAGACTTTCTTATCAGCGTTCTTCTCTCATGTTTCAAGGTTGACCTAAATGAAGAAGAGACCATCCTGATCATTCGACGTTTACACAAGGTGCTCCGACCTTTCTTGCTGCGGCGACTCAAGAAAGAAGTCGAGGCGCAGCTGCCAGAGAAGGTCAGTGTGCACAGCTTCTGCCAAAACATATTCAACACTGAAATATTTCTGCTCAGAACAGGTCAAAAAATTTAGTTGCCCTGCTGAGATTTCCCCTTGTTGTTGTTCTACAGGTGGAGTATGTCATAAAGTGCGACATGTCAGCTCTGCAGAGGGTTCTGTACAGACACATGCAGGCCAAGGGAGTCTTGCTCACAGACGGTTCAGAAAAAGACAAGAAGGTGAGCTGATGTCTCAAACTCGGTTCTTTTGTGGTCATTTAAAGAAAATTTGAAATAATAGACGCCTAATGTATCCTCCTCATTTTACAGGGTAAAGGTGGCACGAAGACCCTGATGAACACTATCATGCAGCTGAGGAAGATATGCAATCACCCCTTCATGTTCCAGCACATTGAGGTACCAGACACAAACACCACCATTTAAATCATGATACCAGTAAATCTTTTTAAAAGACAGTAGAACAGATGTTTTAAAGCTGAAATACAAAAACAACATATGATATTAATCATTTTTACTTGTTTGCTTTTACAGGAGTCCTTCTCGGAGCATCTCGGTTATTCTGGTGGAATCATCACAGGGTACGTAAAGCTAAAAACTGTGTCTGTGGATAAATGTTAGGTGCTCGGTCAGTGTCACTCATATTCTCCTTTTCCCTGTCCAGCCCTGACCTGTATCGTGCCTCTGGAAAGTTTGAGCTGCTGGATCGTATCCTGCCCAAGCTGAGGGCCACCAACCACAAAGTGCTGCTCTTCTGTCAAATGACCTCACTCATGACCATCATGGAGGACTATTTTGCGTACCGCAATTTCAAGTACCTGCGTCTGGATGGTGAGAACCTTTTGGCTGTTAACTATAAGAGAGTCATATTGAACTACTGGGAGTCACTAACAAAGCGTGATGTTTTCTTAGGTACCACCAAAGCAGAGGATCGTGGCATGCTGCTGAAGACGTTCAACGACCCCGCCTCTGAGTACTTTGTGTTCTTGCTCAGCACCAGGGCTGGAGGTCTGGGCCTGAACCTGCAATCTGCTGATACTGTCATCATTTTTGACAGTGACTGGAACCCGCATCAGGTACTTTATGTGCACAAAGAAGTTCAGGAAATGGCCTGTTTGTTGTGAACATGTTTGCTTTCTGCACAGCGATTCCACCTAAACTGTCTGTGCGCGCTCCCTACAGGACTTGCAGGCCCAGGATAGAGCGCACCGTATCGGTCAGCAAAACGAGGTGCGCGTGCTGCGCCTCTGCACCGTCAACAGCGTGGAGGAAAAGATCCTGGCAGCAGCCAAGTACAAGCTGAACGTGGACCAGAAGGTCATCCAGGCCGGCATGTTCGACCAGAAGTCTTCAGGCTATGAACGTCGGGCCTTCTTACAGGCTATTCTGGAGCACGAGGAGCAGGACGAGGTCGGGGCTCGAGGAGGCTGCCGCACTAGGGGGGCGTGGGTGGGTGTGATCTAAACCTGTTCCCACATCGCCCACCCGCCCACGTCCGCCTGTGCGCTGCCCCACCTCTTCATTCTCTCCCTTTCCCCCCCTTCTCCTCTTTCTGTCTCTTTTCCTTATTTTCCCCTCTTTTCTCAGGATTTGTGAGCTTTCATCAATCCAGACTTCTCCCTTTCTCCCCTATGTATTTCTGCTTCTGCACAAACCTTTGATGGTTAATATGATACTTTATCCTTCACTCTAACATAAAAGCTTTTCCCGTTTTATATTTTCTTTCCTTTTCCCCTCTTTATGGCTTTAAACTCTTTCATGCAAAGTTAAGGATTTGTTTACCTTTACTTTTAGTATCAGTTTCATTTGCACAGCGTTAGTCATCTAGTGCATCCTGTAACTGCAAGTGATATTTAGAGTGTCTACGTAAAGCATAGTAATGTTCAATGAATTGCTAGTAATTCATATTGCTGCTTGGCTTTCCATTTGTGCTTGAGAGTCATTAGTTCAGAGACTTGGGTCTGAGGTGCCACAAATCTGCAGTCAGCCATCGCTCATTCAGCCCGTCTCATTTATCTGCAGGAGGAAGACGAAGTGCCTGATGATGAGACCGTCAATCAGATGATCGCGAGGAGCGAAGAGGAGTTTGAACAGTTCATGGTTCGTCTTGGTTTCATGTCAGTTATTAGACACTTTAACATTTTTTGAATCTGACTCTAATCGCACTGTTTTTTTGTTTTGTTTTTCATTTCAGCGTATGGATCTAGACAGACGCCGCGAGGAGGCCCGTAACCCTAAGAGGAAACCCCGTCTGATGGAGGAGGACGACCTGCCCGGCTGGATTTTGAAAGACGACGCTGAGGTTGAGAGGCTAACCTGCGAGGAGGAGGAGGAGAAGATGTTTGGCAGAGGGTCGCGCCAGCGCAAGGAGGTGGACTACAGCGACTCGCTCACAGAGAAGCAGTGGCTCAAGGTGGGATGAGTCCCAAATACTGACAGCTGAATCGATATTAGGTCTTTTTCACTAGTTCAGCCTCTACTCGGTTTCGGTCATTTTTCATTACAGTAGAGTTCCACCTAATGTGCGTAGGGTTTCTATAGCAATGCCTCTGAAAGTCTGTGATGTCATTTGTATGCGACACAAACAGTACACATCAATAGAGCACATTGAGGCTACAGTCTATGGCTTATTGTTGGTTTTTGTGTAGCCATTTCTCTCGTTGCCGGGTTTTAAAAATGCCAGTTCTGGCTTTCGTAAAAGAGTCGCTCTTACATCTCGTGGACCTACAACTCACGTGTTTCTATTAAATGAGTTTTCAACTGTATTCCTCTTTGAACAGGCCATAGAAGAAGGCAATCTAGAGGACATTGAAGAGGAAGTGCGTCACAAGAAGACGACCAGAAAGCGCAAGAGAGACCGTGATCACGACGGTGGCCCGGCCACACCCAGCTCCAGCAGCGGCCGCGGGCGGGACAAGGACGACGATGGAAAGAAAGCAAAGAAACGGGGTCGCCCACCTGCTGAGAAGCTCTCTCCTAACCCTCCATCTCTCACTAAGAAAATGAGGAAGATTGTTGACGCTGTCATCAAATACAAGGACGGGTGAGGAGACGGCTCTTCTGAAGAGCGCAGGATTAGCAGAAGGGGCGAAAATTTAGTTTGATTGCGTTTTTAACTAACTTGTCTCCTCGTCTTTGCAGAAATGGCCGACAACTGAGCGAAGTCTTCATCCAGCTCCCATCTCGCAAAGAGCTTCCCGAGTATTATGAGCTCATCCGCAAACCAGTGGACTTCAGAAAGATCAAGGTGAGGATCAAAAATTACCTCATCAATGGTTTTTTTTAAATATATATATGTATTTCTTTTTTAGATTCCAACTTATTAAATCCTGCATATCTGACTGCTGCCTGTTGTTTCTCTCTCCGTGCATCAGGAGCGGATCCGCAGCCACAAATACCGCAGCCTGAACGACCTGGAGAAGGATGTGATGCTGCTGTGTCAGAACGCCCAGACTTTCAACCTGGAGGGCTCTTTGGTGAGTGATGCTAGCAGCACACGCTCACCAGTGTTTGATATATTCAACTCATTTAACTTACAAGTTTTCCTATTTTGGAAGCTAACTTTGTTTCTCTCTTTAACCATTTATTTATTTATTTGTTTTTTTTAGATCTACGAGGACTCCATTGTGCTCCAGTCCGTCTTCACCAGCGTGAGACAGAAGATCGAGAAGGAGGATGAAAGCGAGGGAGAAGAAAGCGAGGAGGAAGAGGAGGAGGTGGATGAAGGCTCGGAGTCTGAATGTGAGTATCGGAGGGGCATGGTAGCTTTTATAGCATCAGCGGGCGGTGAGGCTCACTCAGCATTATTTTGTTTGCAATCTTTGATCCCTCATCAGGTCGTTCAGTGAAGGTCAAGATTAAACTGGGCCGGAAAGAGAAGGGGGAGAGAGGAGGGAAAGGACAACGGCGGCGGGGCCGCGGAGCCCGGGCTAAACCCGTGGTAAGCGACGACGACAGCGAGGAGGAACAGGAAGAGGTGAGAGCAGAACAGGAGAACGAACACACACACACACACACACACACACACCAAAGCTTGAATCTTCTGCATTCATGTTAATGTATTTAAATGACAGATTTTCCCGTCACAACGACAGAGCTTTGAGTTCCCTTTTAGAACCTGTTGGAAAGAATGAGCAGAAGAACGGTTCTGCATTCACTCTCTCAGATGTTTTCCTGTTTTAAATCATTAAAACAAATCCTTTTGTGACACACAAGTATTTGACACAGGGGCTTTGTTTTAATGAATATATTTTACATTTGAATTTCAGTTACACAAGATTTGTTTTTAAAGATATAATCTGCATTATAAAACGCAGCCAAACTGACCATGATTCAAATTCTTGATACTATTGAGCAGCTATTCTCTAACAACTTCTCATGATCATACATTTTGTGATGGTAAATAATGTTTTCTTGTTCATTTTACAAACTTAAAATACCAAAATCAAATACATTGATCATCATGATGATTGCCACATCTTTAGTCTGGTGTGCTGGTAATGGAGATTCCCTTCAGACAGTTCACAACAACCCAGTCATTCTATTCTAGGTCTGAGCTGGGATCATTTCCACGCCACTCGTGTTTTGTGGTGTTTGCGGTACTTTTGATGGGCACTCTGTGCTTGTGTAGTCTCAAGGTCTTGTTGAATAGTGAAAGTAAATCTTTGTTTCTGTTTCCTTCAGGAGCGTTCAGCCAGTGGCAGCGAGGAAGACTGAAGTGATCCGCCTCCTGATTGGACCAACGACCCACTGAGCCCTTGACTGGACTTTATATATTTTACTTAGATACTGCAGATTGAGTGGACAGGCCTAGTTTTACCTAGATGAGCTGATTTTTAGTGAGACAACTGTATTCTCATTAAAGCATACCATTAATTAAAAAACATAATAAAAAAAACTAAAATATGAAAGCTATGAACCCTCCACTTCCATATTTAAACCATTTTCCCATTATGAATAGTAGTGTGTCTCTTTGCCCTTGTTTTTCTCTTTTCTGTAAGTGGGAAAAATGACAGAGCCTGAATTATTATAGACTGACGGCCATAAAGACAGCAAACTGTTTTTTAAGTGGTATTAATTTTGTCGTCTTTTACTTTTTGGGACAAGAGCGTACGTGTGAACCAGGACTCGCTGCGTTCTTTAAAAGCCCTTTTTGAATGCATGTCGTGCGTGTCTGTTGAAATGCACCTGGATGTGTCTTCATTATTATCTGTGTTTAATTTAAGACTACAAGCGGGATCACGGTACACCCCCCCCGCCCTGCAGACCCTTCCTGTCAGGCTGTTTGTATTGGGGGAGGGAGGGATTGGACCATTTTTCTCGTGTCTGTGGCACTGGATTCCAAAAAAAGTACAATAAAGGCATCTCATAATTATTCATTGTTGTCGACTGTTTCAAATACACGCTTAGCCTACAACCAAGTGTTATCAAGCCTGGCTTTCTGAGTGTATTTATACACTGGGACGGTTAACCACAAAATCAAACACATTTATTAGTTCCCATTTCTTAAAAGCATGACTTTCAGATACAGTTCATGTGTTGTAGATATTTTTTCATCAATAGCTTCACTATGCGTCTATTTATAATCTATTCAGTAATAGATTTTTGGTATCATCCTATTGGTACAAACAGGTTGCTATCAACAAAGTGCCCAGACATACCATTTAAAATGTGTTTGTTTTTTGTTTTTTTGAGTTCATATTTAATGCTTGAAGTGGTTTAAACAACAAAGGTGTTCCTTTGAAATGATCGGGTACGAGGACGGGACTGAAAACGAGTGAAAAAGCAGCCAATGTCCAAAGAACTTTGAAAGAGCTTCAGAAAGCTGGAGAACTTTTCTCAACAGATTTGGCTCCTTGGAAGCAAAATATTTGAAAGTGACAGGAGACTCAAGACTTTTGGGCGGTGTTATAGAAATTCAGATAGAAATATTAAATTATGATGTTAAAGCAAGGGGTGGATGGATAGGAATAGTGGAATAGTATTAAGTCGTGCACTCTGTCACTTCACAGTAAAAGGTTTCCTGGTTCAGATTCCACTAGGGGGCTTTTCTGTGTGGACTTTGCATGTTCTCTTTGTGCCTGGTTTCATCTCACTGTCCAAACTCTAAATCAGCCATATGTGTGAATCTTTCTATGTACACTCAACAAAAATATAAACGCAACACCTTTGTTACTGCTCCCATTCCCCATGGGATGGATGTAGAGACCTAAAATTCATTCCAGATACACAATATAACCATCCCTCCCAAACAGTGGTCACAAATCAGTCCAAATGTGTGGTAGTGGGCACATCTGCTATATTGAGATAATCCATCCCACCTCACAGGTGTGCCACATCAGGATGCTGATCTGACATGAGTAGTGCACAGGTGTACCTCAGACTGCCCACGTCAAAAGGCCACCCTGGAATGTGCAGTTTTTTGCGCTATTGGGGGTCTGGGGACCCAGAACCGGTCAGTATCTGGTGTGACCACCATTTGCCTCATGCAGTGCAACACATCGTCGCATGGAGTCTATCAGATTGTCAATTGTGGCCTGTGGAATGTTGGTCCACTCCACTTCAATGGCTGTGCGAGGTTGTTGGATATTCGTGGGAACTGGTACACGCTGTCGTATACGCCGGTCAAGCACATCCCGAACATGCTCAATGGGTGACATGTCCGGTGAGTATGCTGGCCATGCAAGAACTGAGACATTCTCAGCTGCCATCTGCCCTGAACAATGTGAACCATGATTCATCCGTGAAGCGCACACCTCTCCAACGTGCCAGACGCCATCGAATGTGAGCATTTGCCCACATTGTTGTCAGATCAGCATCCTGATGTGGCACACCTGTGAGGTGGGATGGATTATCTCAATATGGCAGATGTGCCCACTACCACACATTTGGACTGATTTGTGACCACTGTTTGGGAGGGATGGTTATATTGTGTATCTGGAATGAATTTTAGGTCTCTACGTCCATCCCATGGGGAATGGGAGCAAAAACAAAAGTGTTGCGTTTATATTTTTGTTCAGTGTATGTCTCTGCCTTTTGCTTTCTCATAGCTGGGACAGGCCCAAGCTGCCAACTGCCCTAAACTGGACAAGCAAGTAAGAAAATTGATAGATTACATATAAAATACAATATTTCAAAGTCAGCAAAGCACAAACAGAATCAGAAGTTGCTTATTAAATCCAGTAAATGCAGTTTGTGTGTGGAATTTATATTTGAAGTTATTGTAAAATCTTCTGAAAATATATTCAGAAATTAAAATGTTTAATTCAGTGTCAGCTCCCCTCCCTGCTGCCAGTGTGTTATATCATTTACTGTAGGCAAAAAAAACAAAACCATTAGTTTTCTACTTCCTGTCAGTGCTCGAGATTACCAGTGTTGCATTAAAAATGTGCCTGACGTCTTTTAGCAACATATAGATAGATCTAAATGTTTATTGTGTCTTTTTGTCATTGTTACAAAACAATATTAATCTGAGGTGTAGCACAGATTTCAGGGACCCTAATAGAGACTGTCTCTGTGAGCACAGTTTGAAATCTCCCCACACATACTCACCATACGAAGTCTACAATTAGTATCAAGCTTAACAGTGTTATTTTCTTTGTGTATAAAATGAAATTCTTACACAAAGAAAATTTCCCCTGAACAAAGACATTCAGTTGCATCCAGAGAACAAGGCATCACTAGAAACATGACTTGCAGAAACAGAATAAGCTTTCATGACATTTTGAACTTTTACAGCATCGGATTTTTGAGTCATTACTGGAAGTATCTGCAGTATATAACATGTTTGTTAGCAACTAAAACAATATGGCAGTAAGTACCCTATTAAGTAAGCAAGTGCTGTTTAATTCTAAAAAAATAATTTAACACTGATGTTTTCATTCAGTGCTCATCGGTTGGTTGGTGAGGTCTTGATGCTTGGGGTGGTGGTGTCACTGTTCATGCAGGATTGATCTTCTCTAACATTGCATGTAGTGAACAAAACAACGTCTTCTTCTTGTTTTTTAAGATTCTGTAATACATTACAGAATTGGTCTTCCTGCCGATGCAGCTCCAGTTGTGTGAGCTCTCTTTCATTGTTCTCTGTTTAAGGGGATTGAGTATAATCTGCATGCCATATAGACAGGCTTGATGTTATCTGAAAAAACGCACAGCAGACTTGAGGTTCCCTTTTGTGGCTGTGGTGCTGCCAGCTGCCAAGAGGCACCCTTAACGTCTTTCATGAGACCCTCAGCCAGGTGTCAGGCAAAAGCTCCCGCTTTGATTGGCTGACACAGCTTCCAGTTCAGTTTCAGTTCTTCCTTCTGCTCCTCAAGATGCTTTAAGGAGTTGAAGGAATACTTTTGAATTTGCCTCCTTGCACGACAACGTGAACGTGTGCTCCACCGTCTCATTTTCACAGACCTGTGTCTCTTGGAGCCAAGGTTAGGAACAGTTTATCTCGGAGTTTAGAAATTTCCGCCAGGACACAGTGAACAGTTGAAGCTTTTTCTCTCTGGGTTCAGACTCTGACATTCTTGAAGGAGTGAGTCTTCAATTAAAGACAGGCTCAAAGTATTAGTGCCAACAACCTGTAAACTAAAGAAGGAAGACCATCGGAATACCGTTAATTCTAAAAAGATCAACAAGAAAGAAAGTTACAAAAAAATACCAGAACCTAAAAAACAGATCTAACAACATACAATGTGTTTATTACCAGGATCCCACAGAAAAGTCTTTTCTTAGAAGAGTGCTGGCAGATCAACCTCACCAAGGAGAGGCCATGAAGCAGCTCCTCACAGGAAGAAAGAAATGGCAGGAAACATGGTTCTAGTAAAAATGTATCATTTGACTTACTTAATAATACCACAGTAACCTCTTAAATCTCTGTGTTCTCCTCACATCATGTCTGTTATGTGATGGAAAAAACAGGAGATTGAGGGAAACTACAGATAAGAGAGATTCAGGAGAAGGTGCAGACACAAGAGGGAGACAACCCAACCACAGAAATACATTAAAACACATAGAGTATGTGCTCAGAGACACACAATATGTGTGGTACACTTGTACAGGACTCTGTCTACTGTCAGACCAGGGAGAAGAGGAGCAAGGAGACCATGGCTTCAAAAATGAGGAATATGATCTCACCCCAACAGACAAATCCTATTCCTCGTGGATCTGCAAAATATAGAATTTAAATGAGATATTTGAGAAATGTATTTGAGATATTTGTACCCTCATCCCTCCAATAACTAATACAGCTTTGTATAATTTTGCATGAATAAAGTAATAAACATTTACAGTGCACCTGTGTCCAGGGCTGTTCACTCACTGCTGTATACAAATGTGAGCACATTTATGCAACGAGCCTTGTTCACATGTATGTTTTACTATGTGAAAAATACACCAATACACCTGTTATTCATACGAGGATTATTGTATACATTTCTTAATCTAATAAACAAATCAGTAAAAGTGAAAAAAGTAGGGAGCAGCAGACACAGACCACATTCATTCATTTATTAATTCATCTGTTAGTTAAGCATTACTAATCATATGATATTATTTCCTCTTACTGCGCCCAGGGGCATTTGTGCTTTTGCTGCGATGTTTTGATTTGGTTAGCATGTTGGGGCGATGTCCCAGCCATAGACTGCAAATGACAGAAGGATGTAGCCCTTGTAATATCCCCCTTTGGTTTGTGCAGTCCTGTTTTGAAGCTTTAAGTTCAGCATTCTGTTTGCCTCCATGCTGGTTTTCTGAAATGCCACAAGTGGAGTTGATCTGACTGAGAAAACCGCCAGTTGACATGATGGTGACTTTCCACTCATAAGATAAATTGTACTCAGCTTTGAGTGCTCCTAGCTGACACGAGTGGCACCGGGTGTGGTCTTCTGCTGCTGTGGCCCATCTGCTTCATGGTTCAGCATGTTGTTCATTCAAAGATGCTCTTCTGCACATCTTGCTTGTAACGACTGTAATTACTTTTACCCGTCTGGATATTTTCCTCTGACTTTTGGCTTTCTCTCCCAGCGAGCTGCTGCTCGCTGAATGTTTTGTCTTTTTCAGACCATCCTCTATAAACCCCATAGATGGTCATGTGGTCATCTCAGTAGTTTCTGAAATATTCATACCAGCCCATCTGGCACCAACAACTGTGTCACATTCAAATCCACCTAAATCCCCTGTCTTTCCCTTTCTGATCCTCAGTTTGATGCAAAACATCTTGACCATGTCTGCATGCCTAAATGCATTGAGCTGCTGCCTTGTGATTGGCTAATTCGATATTTGCATTAAGAGCAGCTGGTCAGGTGTAAAAAAGTTGCTCCCGGCTGGCCGCTAGCAAGACTGAAGGTTTCACACACTTATGTACTCTCTTTTGTGGTTGCTATTTCC